TAAATATTGCACTCTAAAATAATACGTAATGCATGAATATCATTAGAAATAGTTATTTCCATATAATACATAAATGGCAGAGGTCCCTGAAGTTAGCGTCGACGCTGAGCATCGAAAAACATGTTTTTCACGATGAAACTTTTTCCCAAGGTTTGAGGTTAAGAAGTACTTTCAAAATTTTCTTAGATTATTGAAGGAAGTGAAATTAGTTAAAATTTTATGACTAAAATAAGAAAAAAATAGTTTTCGATGCTGAGCGTCTACGTCAACTTCAGGGACCAAATGGCAGCACCTTGAATTGGCGTCGACGCTGAGCGTCGAAGAAAGTTTTTCTTCGCAAAATTGAAAAAAAAATCATCTTTTCGCAAATTTTGTATTATAAAAGTGCCAAAAAAAATAATTTAACTCTATAGTCGAATAGAAGAAGTTAAATTAGTGAAATTTTTATCTCTGAAAAGATAATAATTTGCCACGCTAAGCGTCGACGCCAACTTCATACACCTCACTAAATATCATTTTTCCCCTGCAGACAAATCAAAAATATATTTTTCATAACGCGGTGCTAAAAGCGGCACTTTTTTTGCACCTTGTTATGAAAAATATCGTTCGTAACTAGTGCGAGGAGTTGCCAATTTTTGAACGAGCACTTTTTTTGGAACAAACTGTTCGTTCCACAAAAGTGCTCATTCAAAAATTGGCAACTGCTCGCACTCGTTACGAAATATGCTATATCTAAACACTTTAATGTAAGAATCATATTATATTATAATTTTTTTTGAACGTCGTATTTATAGTTTTAATATAACATTAAATTTACTGAATTAATTTAAGCACTGTTATTATTTTGAGCCTTTTATACACTGAGAAAAAAAGTTTAGTATTAACAGAAAACGTTTGGTTGATAATTGATATTTAATCAAGCAGTTTTCTTTTTTATCAAAATATAAATGTTGGTTGTTGTAACCAAACTTTGGTTGAAACAACCAAATGAGAAAAATAGTACATTGTACACCGAGTGCGGAAAGAAGCCGTTTTCCGACGAGTTTGTTTGTTAAATTAAACTCGTCAGGAAATCTAATTTCCATATGAGGCGTACACAATGCTTTGGTAACACCTGTTTACCAAAAACGTCATTTTTATACTGTTTTAATGAATGTATGTAATTTTATATTGATTATAGTGTATATTATATACTGTATAAAAAAAGTATACTCTCTAAAACTGAATCAGTGAAATTTGACTGAGAATCAGTGACTCTATTCTCGCGATTTGACTCAGTGAAATTTCACTGAAGATCAGTTAAAAATGATTGAAATTTCAGTCAATTAAAAAATAACTGAAATTTTCAATATGTGTGACAGAAATTTTTAGTAGTTTTTTAATTGGCGAATCAGTGGAAAATGACTGAAATTTCAGTTATTTTTAACTGATTTTCAGTGAAATTCGACGGATTCAAATCACTGATTCAAATCGCGAGAATAGAGTCACTGATTCTCAGTCAAATTTCACTGATTTTTAGTGGAATTTCACTGACTCAGATTTAGAGAGCAGCAAAGTAGTTAAAAGTGTGCACACAGGAAAAAAGAAGTGTTATTTTAACACTAAAAGTAGTGTTAAAACAACACGCAACATTTTTAACCGACACTGTGTGATTTAACACTTCATTGGAGTTAAAATAACACTAGAGTGTGTTAAATTAACGCTAGAAAGTGTTAAATTAATATACATTTTAAATGGGGTTAAAATAACACAAAAAATGTGTTAAAATAACACCATCTGAAAAGTGCTGCATTATTTTTAAAAAAAAGTTTCAATCAAAGTTTCCAGCTCAATGTGAGACCTGATTTTTTCAGTGTTTTTCGTGAAAATAATGTAGTATATGATCCAAAAAAGTTCTGACCGTTTAAATGAACGGTATTTTTTGACAACATTTAAACATAACTATAACTAATATAAAAGCAAAATAGTATATTGTGCAACAAGTACAGAAAGAAGCTGTTTTCCGACGAGTGCAAAGTTTGCTGCTCCGAGCGAAGCGATGGGAGCAGTTTGCACGAAGTCGGAAAATCTTCTTTCGTACGTGTTGCACACAGTACTTTGTGCAAAACCTGTTTACCGAAAAAGTAATTTTTATACTTTTCTAATCAATAAATATAGTTTTATGTTGATTATACTGTTTGCAGAAAAGTGTGCAGGAAAGTACACTTTCCTGCACAGCGTGCGGAAAAGTAATCAAAAGTGTGCAGGAAAGTACAGTTTCCTGCACAGTGTGCGGAAAAGTAATTAAAATTTATGTTAAAGAAAAGTATCTCTTTTCCAGCAGGTGTTGAACAAAATATTTTTTCGCCATAGACATGAAAAAGTGTCTTTTTGGGACCTGTTTTGGGCAAATAAAGTAGCACTTTTTCAAGCAGTTCTGGACAACTGCCGTAAAAAGACTTTTTATGTCAGCTAACTGCCGTAATAGTACATTGTACAACTAGTGGCGAAAGTGTGATTTTTCGAGAGTGAAGTTTGCGGCTCGAGCGTAGCGAGAGCAGCAATCACTCGAGAAAAATCATTCTTTCACCACGAGTTGTGCACTACGTTTTCTCCAACGCCTTGCGAGGAAAGGTTTCTTCGTGAGTTTCGTATAATTTTAATTTAAAATGTTTTTATGTTTAATATAATAAAAGACGAATGTTTTGAGTGAGGAAGAAGTTAGATACAAAATAAATCTCGGTCAAAGAACAAGAAAAAAGAATAAATTCATGATTTACTTTCGCCACGCTCTTCAGAGCAGTTGAGAAAAGTTCTACTTTCGCCACACTTTTCTACCAAGAAAAGTACTCCTTTCAGAGCAAGTGTTGGAGAAAAAGTCTTTGTGCAACACCTGCTGGAAAAGAGCTACTTTTCTTTAACATAAATGCAGCACAAAGTGGTCAATTTCTGCACATTTAAAAGTGTGCAGGAAAGTGTACTTTCCTGCACACTTTTAATTACTTTTCCGCACACTGTGCAGGAAACTGTACTTTCCTGCACACTTTTGATTACTTTTCCGCACACTGTGCAGGAAAGTGTACTTTCCTGTACACTTTTGATTACTTTTCCGCACATTGTGCAGGAAAGTGTACTTTCCTGCACACTTTTCTGTAAACAGTATAATATACACTATAATCAACATAAAACTATATTTATTGATTAGAAAAGTATAAAAATTACTTTTTTCGGTAAACAGGTGTTGCACAAAGTACTGTGTGCAACACGTACGAAAGAAGATTTTCCGACTTCGTGCAAATTACTGCCCTCGCTTCGCTCGGAGCAGCAAACTTTGCACTTGTCGGAAAAAAGCTTCTTTCTGTACTTATTGCACAATATACTATTTTAAGCCAGTTAGCTGCCATAAAAAGTCTTTTTACGGCAGTTGTGCAGAACTGCCTTATGGCAGTTTACCGAGATTGAAATTTATATTGAGATTAATATAGAGATTAATATTGAGATTGAGAGATTGGAATTAAAAGATTGAATGATTGAGAGATTGGGATTGAGAGATTGAGATTGTGAGATTGAGAGACTGAGATTGAGAGATTGAAAGATTGAATGATTGAGAGATTAAGATTGAAAGATTGAATGATTGAAAGATTGAATGATTAAAAGATTGAATGATTCAGATTGGTTAAAAAATTAATCTTAAAAAATTTTTAATTTCTTAGGTACTGAAAGAGGTGAAATTAGTGATAATTTTATGACTAAAAATACTAAAAATTAGTTTTCGACATTTAGCGCAAATGCCAACTATATGGACATAAATCTAAATTAGTTAAATTGACTGATTTAGCTTTAGAAATTATAGAGGAAAATTTTCCTAAAGTTTTGAAGGTTCAAATGAAAAAAAAAGTTTTTTCTTTTAAAATAAGTATTTTCAAAAATTACTATACTGAATAAAAAAATTTTAATTTTTTAATTCAAAACCTATTTTGTTAACTATTAATTTTTCTATAATATAAAGAAAAAATATTCTTTAGATTCCTGAAGTTAGCGTTGACATTGAAAATCAAAAACAATTTTTTTTCTACAAAATCGAAAAAGTGAAACAATTGTTTTAAAGGTTTTATATTAAAAATTTGTCCTGGTGGCTTTTTAATTCCCAAATTGAATAAAAAAGTGAAATTAGAGCCATTTTCATATCTAAAATGCCCAATAATAATTTTCCACGCTAAGCGTCGACGATAAATTCAGGGACATTTTTTAAAAATAAAATTAACGTTCATTTAAACGTTCAAAATTTGAAGGGCATATAAAGAAAGTACACTAAGAAAAAAATATATTTAAATGAATCATAATTGTCTTTGTTATAAGTCAAAAATTATTTTTGAATTAAATATAATTTTGATTCAATACACAATAAGTTTTATTCAATAAAAATAACGTTTAATTCAATTATAAAATATGTTTAATTCAAAGGTATTTTTTTAACTGACTACATAATTTTTTATTAAAAAAAAATTTTGTCTCAGTCTAGAATTTAGAAAATTTGAAAGAAAAGACATATTTATTGATTCCTTGATCGATATAGTATTTCAATATTGAATAAGCTACTTCACTCATTCGCTGGTGAAGTTCTCAATACGTTCATAATCAATAATTTAGAAGAAAAAATATTTTCTACTCAAATTTTTGTCCTATAAAAAATTTTTGCGATATTTCTTCATTGACTTATATTTAACAAAAAATATTTGAAAACAAAAAATATTATAATTTTTTCTGTAAAATGATTTTTTTTCTTCCAATCGTTGATTATAAATGTGAAATTTACCCACGTTTAATTATTTATGTATTCTTAAAATGCACTGCTAAAAAAAATCCAGAATTCCAAATTTTCCCAAAGATTTGAACACTCGATTGAACGAATTTATTAATTTTTTTTATAAATCTTTCCTATAATTATTGTAGTGAAACAAATTATCCTTACATCATCAAATTATTCATTTCCATATTTATATCCTTCTTTTTACAATGTAATATCGATAAAAGTGATTTTGCTTTTCAATTATTGCACACATTAATTGTACGAAAGTAAAAGTTATAATTTAAATGACAGACTTTCACCACTTTTTTCCGTTAAATTCAGAAAATTATTTTTGTGCACGAGACACACACGTTATAACAATGAGAGTTGTTAATATAAATCATTACATGCTTAGTCGTCACAATAGAGAAAACCAAGAAAAAACAATCCACCGTTTGATGCACATGAATGCGTTTTACTGTATTCAAAGTCACCTTAAATATGACGACACGTCCTTAAGACTTTTATTCTTCAATTTGCACTGTGTCAATCATCTTCAAAAGAACAAAAAAAAATAAATAAAATAAAAAAATTTACAAGTTTTCTTTCTTTAAACTATGACGATATATATAAAATATTTGGTAATTTTTCCAATAATAATCAGTAGTGTTCTTGCAATGAGCAATTGGGAGATAAATATCGAACGGGATAGAAAAAATGCAGCCGGAACGATGTTAGTTGATATTGCAAAAGAATTGGTTCAAAGATCCGCATCGACAAGTCAGGTAAAATTTTTTTGGAAATAAATAACTTTTTATGTTTATTTATTTACGTTTGTAACGAATAATCTATTTTGGAGAGATAATTTATTCTTTAATATATATATAATTAATTTAAAATTATACACAATGTAGTGAAATATTGCACCAAGCACACAGAAGAAAATATTTTCCGACTAATTTTCCAAGTTTCAACACCGAAAATAGAAGGACTGACGACTGAATTCGACAGAAAACGCTACCAAGTTGAAGTCCACAACGTTTATCAACGAAAAAAGTTTTTTTAATAAGTGTTAATTAATAGAAAAAAAGAATAAAGCAACAATACTGTCAAAAAAATGTATTAAAAAGGGAGTTTTATTTATATATTAATAATAATAGTTGTTGTATATTTTACAAAAATATAATATTTGAATAAATTAAAAAACCTTTTTCGTTGATCAACGTCTTGGACTTCAACTTCGTAAACGCTTTTGTCATTCACCCTCTTTTAGCACTTTTCAGAACTAGTGTAAACGAAAGGGATGTAAACTTCAATTTAAATTACCTTTATTGTTGAGTAATTTTGCGTTCCTTTGTCCGATTGGTCGTTGGAGATTTTGAATGAGTATTTAATCCTTGTTTGAGATCCATAGCACTCACTATCACACTTTTTCGATTCACTTTGTTATTTCCCGATAAATAATACACGACGATTAACGAAAATTTTACGTTTCAAGCGATAGTAAATATAAATTATTTGTTACGCACCCGGTCAAATTTATCTATCATCTCAAATTTTTTATTATCTTGTCCGAACTCCGATTGTGAATTATCAATTTTACTCATATTTAACACTTATTACGCTCAAAAGACATTTACCGCACTTACTAAATTATTTACCCGAATCAATTGCTTAAACCCGATCAATAATTTACTACGATTACAAACTTTTCGAATGATATAAAAGACAGTTATTACGGAGCGGACCGAGCGGACAAAACTACTTTTGTCAAACATTTTGAGGTTATGTTACCCGATTGTTGAACACCTTGAACACGAATGTAGCGCAGTAACGATTGCATAAAATACTTATTATCACTTGTTCGATTCACAATCCCGATCAATAATTCACTATGATTACTAAAAACTTTAATATTTGACTTAAATATTATGAAAAAACGGTACATGTGACCGACGGAAAGGACTGTTGCCGACTGACGAGCAATGGAAGCGCGCGCACATTGCCAATGGCAGCCCATGAGTTAGAGTGAGACAGACTTACGCGTAATGCACACTTTCTATGACTGATGCAAAACTTTTTCTAGACATCGCTAAATGGAACTAATTTTACCACAATTAAAATAATATTATGTAGATATATTAAAAAATTGCAATGTTTATCATATTAAATAGTTAATTATAAGAATAATCGACAAAAATTTTCACGATTTGACAAAAATTAATTTTAGGTTCTCAACTTAAATCTTTCAAGTTTATTGCTTCTACTAGTTCTAAAGGCTGTCGTTTATGGTGCTGGATATTTAGGGGGACATAATAATTTCAATAATAATGTCAATGCTCGTGGTTTAGAGGAAGGTAATTGAATTGAATTTAATGATTAATTGATTACTATAAGGGATCATTCACATGTTACGTCACAGGCCTGTTGGGGTTGGGGGGGTTCAGAGATTTGCAAAAAAGGGGCGGGAGATTTTGAATTTTCCAAATTTTCGTTAAGTAATAATTGTGAACGATTCCAAATAAATTATTGAATATTAATTATTTGATAAATTGTAATTTTTTCCAAATTAGATATGGTATCAGAGGGAGAAGTTGCTTTAGCTGTTGGTTTTCTAATTGGCGACACCTGTTTGTATCGAGCAGCTTGTGAAGTTCCACAAACCGCAAAAGAATATTTAGGAGCTGCTGAAATGATTTTACAAGCTATGAAATTAATGCCTCAGTAAGTTTTTATTTAATTTTTAATTCACTATATAATTTTATATAAAAATTGTATTTTATTTTTAGAAAATACATTAATCTCCACTAAAGCAAAAAATTATTGACAAAATTTATTTTTCTTTCTAGAACTTCGAAATTGAACGAAAAATATGAGAGAAAAATGGCAGATTTTCGAAAAGCGATAGAATACGGTACAGGAGGACAATGTCCTTCGGAGTACAATTGCAAAAAGGAGAATATAGATCGATTTTTACGACCGGAATAAATAAATCAATTTGCTGAATGTATATGAAGATTGTGAACATTATTTTACTATTTTTAAACTTTTTTTTTAGTGTGTCTATGAAAAATGTTTATTATTAGCGAAAGTATAATTGAATTATTTGTGAAAAATTTGTATAAAAATTTTGTTAAATAATTGATCTTTTTGAAAATGCTATTCTAAAATAATTTAATACCTATGAAAAGTTTATTGTTTAAATAATTGAATCGTTTTGAAGAATTTTATTATAATTTTTGTGAATAGTTCTTTGATCTCTAGTAATTAGCCGATTTAAAGTAATGGAAATTCTCAAAAAAAAAAGAAAAAACAGAAATAGTAGCTTTTTAGTTGCTGAAATTTAAAAAAAGTACCCTAATAGTAGCATAAGGTAAAAAAAAGTAGTAAATAGCAGGATTTAGTAGATTTAAAAAAAGGTAATCAGCATATTTAAAAGTTAGCGCCAACAATCGGACAACCACAGCTCCATCTACAACATCTCCATCTGCCTTTCTCCAATGCTGTCATTGGTTGCTTTCGAATTTGCGCGGTAACAAGTATCCAATTGTGTTGCTTCTATCAGGAGAGGAGCGTATAACACACGTATTTCACATTTCTCTCGCAAGTGGTGAATCGCGGACCAAGTTAATATATAAGAGCGATGATTCGCATATCTCATCGTCGGAGAGTCTTGCGGAGTCTGATGTGTTCAGTAGAATTTTGGATGTTTTGAAGTTCAAAATCTGCGTTTACAACATTTTATCGGTCTGCAAAGGCTCGACAACTCTCAGTTCGGGACATTTCAAGGTATGTCAGGCGGCGATAAAAAGCTGTCTGCACTTTGTCATGAGGAGTTGTAAATAAAATTCCCGAGCATGTATGCAGAGCTTGCATGTATTTGAACGTGACAAGTAGGCTCTGTTTGCGCACATAAACGTTGTGTGCGTGAATCGAAAACCGACAGATTGTGTGACCCCACCTTCTCACGGTGTAAGACGGTGTCGAATAATCATGATGAGTTTGAGCCTAGTCGGTGGGGTACAGGTTCTCGAAGGAACCAAGCATTGTTTTACGATGTGATACAATAAATTGCGGAATGCACATTATTTTTTACTATTTTGTTTTTATTTTTATAGAAAATAAAAAATTCCATTTTCTTCAAATCGCTGTTAGATGTACAAATTACGTAAAATAGAAATAAGTGAAATATATTTTTTAACTGATATTATTAATACATATTTTTATTTATTTTTATTGATTTAATGTCGATATATTAAAGTAAGTGTTAAATGGTATTTACAAACTTTAATAATAAATATCAGTCAGTAAAGTTTTTACCTAATATTGCGATAATTATTTCACATTATAATTTGCGGTTCTGGAACCGAGACAGCGATATTTTTATGTGGTAATACTTGACCTCCGTTTATGTATAATTCATCTTTTACGATAACGTCTTCACCCAAAACTGTCGTACCTTCCATTCTCACCCATCGGCCAACGATACTTCTCCATCCTATGATACAACTGTAATTAAAATAATAATAATAATATAATTATTATTATTTATCTTTACAATAAAAAAAGATAAGAAATAAACAAAATTTCCCTTATTTACTAATTAATTATTATTGTTTATTATTTTCTAAAGTATGAATAAAGTTCTTTAAAATAACTCAATTATTTTCAAAAATTTTAATAAACTGGTTCGTAAAATTTCAAATATTTTCATAAATACTAAACTTCGCAGGAATTTAATTATTTTTAATACAATTTAATTAAAATTCCTGGAAAGAATTTTAATTTTCTTCGTAAGAATAAAATTATTTTCAAAGATTTTAATGAACTTTTTTGCAAGAATTCAATTATTTTTAAACATTTTAATAAAATTTCTTTAAATAATTAAATTATTTTCAAAAATTTTGATTCAATTTTTTTAGAAAAATTCAGTTTTAATAGAAGTTTAATTGAATTTCTTAAAAGAATTGAATTATTTTCAAAAGTTTTTAACAAAATTCTTCGAAATATTCAATTCTTTTTAGAAATTGTAATAAATTTTTATACAACAATTAATTTCAAAAAATTGAATAAAATTATATGCAAGAATTCTTATTATTTTCCAAAAATGATGATAGAATTTTTTACCGACATGCATTTAATTTGTTTAAATAATAAAATTCTCCGTAGAAATTTAATTATTTTCAATACAAATTAAAATTAATTCCACCGAAGAATTTCATTAGTTTGAAAATAAACAATTCAATTCTTTTTACAAATTTTAATAAAATTTCCAAAAATGTTGATAAAATTCTTTACAGGAATTCAATTAATTTGTTTGAATAATAAAATTCTCTGCAGAAATTCAATTACTTTCATTACAATCTTAATAAAATTTCTCGATAGGATTTAATTATTTTCAATACAATTTAAAAATAAATAAAATTCTGTGCAACAATTATTTTTAAAAAATTGAATAAATTATATGCAAAAATTCTTAACATTTTCCAAAAATGTTGATGAAATTCTTTAAAGAATTTCAATTAATTTATTTAAATAATAGAATTCTCCACAGAAATTCAATTATTTTCATTATAATTTTAATTAAATTTCTGGATATGATTCAATTATTTTCAATGCGATTCAAAATAAATTCCACCGATGAATTCAATTATTTTGAAAAATTTTAATGAAATTCGTGAAAACAATTCAATTCTTTATAGAAATTTTAATAAAATTCTATATACAATTATTTTCAAAAAATTTAATAAAATTATTTGCAAGAATTCAATTATTTTAAAAAATGTTGATGAAATTCTTTAAAGAATTTCAATTAATTTGTTTAAAAAATAAAAGTCTCCCCAGAAATTCAATTATTTTCATTACAATTTTAAAAAAATTTCTTGATATGATTCAATTATTTTCATTATAATTTAAAAAAAATTTCTCGATATGATTCAATTATTTTCAATACAAATTTAAAATAAATTCCATCAAAGAATTTCATTATTTTGAAAAATTGTAATAAAATTCATGGAAACAATTTAGTTTTTTTCATTACAATTTTTACAAAAATCTTTGAACGAATTCAATATTGTTTTCTACATTTTTGATAAAATTTGTTCATAAGAATACAATTTTCAGAAACTTTAGTAAAATTCTTTGCAAGAATTTAATTATTTTTAGAAAGTTTAATGAAATTTCTTGAAAAAAATTCAATGATGTATTTTCTTAAAATTTTGATAAAATACTTTATAATAATTTAATTTCAGTATAGAATTTTATTAAATTTAAAAATTCAAAACATATAAACAGAAAAATAATCACCTGTCAAGCCATGAGTGTTCTTTAACTGTTGCAGATCCGAGAATTGTTGTTTTCTTTACACAGCATCCGTCTGCTATTGTAACACCTGGACCAATTGTCACGTTCGGACCAATTCGACAATCTTTCCCGATTGTCGCTGTTGGATCAACCAAAACATTTCCAATCACTCCTGGACCGGAATACAATTTTTCCGGTGTCTTTTGTCTCAACGACGTGAGATACAGACCCATTCCTGTTGAAAAATATTGCATTGTAATATTTATATTTTCAAAAAATATTTAAAAACAATTAACTGCTTAAAAAAAGACTCATTTAGAAAAATATTTCAAAATAATTGGTTCAAAATTTTATTTTAGTGATAACTTTTAATAATTAGTTTAATTCAAAATTTAGTTAATAGTTTAATTAATAATTTAATTAATAGTTTGATCAATAATTTAATTAATAGTTTTATCAATAATTTAATTAATAGTTTTATCAATAATTTAATTAATAGTTTGACGAATAATTTAATTTAAAAACTAAGTATAACTAAATATTTCAAAATTTTTATAAAAAAATATGCACCTTTAAGGAAATCTTTTGGTTGACCAACATCCATCCAGAATCCTGTTAAGTCCATTGCATATAATTCGCCGTCGTTGGCCATGTGTGGAAAGACTTCTTTTTCTATGCTCATGGGACGAAGTTCTATTCTTTTCAAAACGCTTGGATTGAAAATGTATATTCCTAAAAAGAAGAGCAGGTGTAAAATTTTTTTAAAAGTTTTTACGTTCAAATGAAACAATTTTTTTTTCTTTTTAAACCTTTTCTAAAATTATTCTACTGAAATGAAATAATAATGTAAATGAAACATTAACTTAGTTAAGAATTAATTTTTTAATTTCCAAAATAATTTTTGTATGTAATTCCATAAAATACAAATTAAAAAGAAGTAGAAAAAATTGTCGTTCATTTGAACATTCGTAACTTAAGGTACATTTTTTTTATTTTACATTCATCAATAAAATAATATATTGAGCAATAAAAGAAAAATATTGTCTTCTATTTATTCAAGCCCAAAACTATTTAAATTCTCACCTGCGTTTATTTTATTCGAAATAAATTCCTGTGGTTTCTCAATGAAACTGTCGATTTTTCCCGCCTCATCGTACAAGACAACTCCATATTTAGAGGGTTCTTCAACTTTAGTAACGACAATTGTTCCCTCGCGTTCATGATTTTTGTGAAATTGAAGAAGTTGTTTAAATGGAAAATCACAAATAATATCCGAATTCAGTACAAAAAATGGTTCATCGCTATTGCGTAGATGTTGAGCAGCAAGTGCCAATGGTCCAGCTGTACCCAAGGGTTCTGTCTCGTGAGAAAATATTAAATTAACACCCAATTTCACAGCTTCCTGCTCCAGCTCCTTTTCCATTTGTTCGGCACGATATGACACTGCCAAAATAACTTCAGTCACATTTATTTCAACCTGAAAATTATTTTCAATTAGTGAAGTATTCTCGAATTAAATGCTACTGTTCGGCAGACCGAAACCAAATTAATTTAAATTAAATTAAATTAAATAGAAAGAAATTATAAAATTACAAAATTAGTTTATTGAAATTAATCGAAAAACTCACCAGAGCTTCAATTTGATGCAGCAACATTGGTTTATTTGCAAATTCAATGAGTGGCTTCGGACGACTGAGAGTTAATGGACGAAGTCTCGTTCCATAACCCCCGACAAGAATTAAAGCTTTCATGGGACTTAATTTTTTCCTCTTCTCATGCATTATGTGAAGATCTGTCAACGTGAAAAAATGTTTAGAAATTAATGCTTAAAAAATTTTGAAACCTTTACGAATTCTACAAAAACAGATAGAGAACTTCCGAATTTACAAAAGAAAAACATTAATATAAATAAATGTATTAATTATTATTTCTTATTATTAATTATTAATTACTATTTATTATTATTAATATTATAAATTTCTCCTAAAAATAAAAAGTATTTTTTTATAAATATATCTTATAGTAAAACAAAACATTTATAAAAAAAGGATATTCCACAATAATAATAATTAGCACAAAATATATACACTATTTCAAGTCCTTTGTATATAAAAAATGATGTAACAAAACTCATTTTTAAGTATAGATTCGTTACAGAACTCTTTAAGATTATCTAATAAATACACAATCTAGTACAAATTAATCATCTTTTAGCAAATATTCAACCGAAACATTTAAAAAAAACACATATCCATGCAAATGTATACAAATTGAAAATGTAAAAAAGTTTTTAAAAAATTCAAAAAATGTCCAGTAACTCACCTCCTCTTGAAAAATATAATCACTGAGGACTGTGTATCGAGATATGCCACGTATATTTTTCCTCATCAACAAATAAGCGCGATACGTGTGTAAAAGATATTATAACATTAATAAAATGAACAAAATGAGTCAGTCTTGTTTTTAAGGTTAGGTTCTTAAATGGGCGTTCAAATCGTTTAAATGGAAAGTTTTATATCAGGCACATTTACCATACATTTACTTAAAACACTTTTAAGTAATTAAAGGTATTTGGAATACTGTTTGAATAACATATATACAACACATTTATAATCTATTAAACTTATCTTATTAAACTATTTAAACAAAAAAAAAAGTTTGACGTTAAACGCCAACCATACTAAAATGTGTACAAATTGTATTGTCACCTAATCAGCTGATTTTTCTGAATTCCTATTGGTTCTTTCCTGTCATCCTTGAATTGCGATTGGCTGGTTTTAGTAAAGTACATTTCCAGTGAAATTGCAATACAATTTGGTCAGCCAAATGACATATGTTGATGTGGTGGTGTGTGGATTTAAAAAATATTGAAAATCTTTTGTAATTAATAATGAATTGACATTTTTTCTAATTAGAAAGTTACACTTCATTAAGTCTTCTTATATTGTAAAAAAGTGCACAACTGACAGGTAGATTTGTTCTATTTTTCATAGAAACATTCATTATTATCATTACTATTCATTATAACCTATAATTTTTATTTGTAATTTTTATCCTTATTTGTTCAAATCGTTTAAATGGCTTAAATTGTTGAAATTTGTTGAAATCATTTCAATCGTTTAAATAATTTGTAAATAAACTAAAATATACATTAAAATTTTGTTTCAGTAAGCGAAAAATAGTTTTTTATTAATTCGGTTTTTTATTTATTTTGATACAATTCACATGTACAGAATTTATATTTATTGTTTATTACATTTCGCCTACTATTATCAGTTTTTTTTATCACTTAATATTTTCTTTTGGTAATATTTATTTTTAAAACAAAATTTACTTTTAGATAAGTAATCTATTTGTTTTGTATCCATAATATTAATTTTTATTTAATGTTGTTTAATTTTTTCATTTGACAGTGACGCTATGGTTAATAATTATTGGAGAAATCTAATTTAAAGGATGATCCTTTATTTTAAAATTCACTATGTTTAAATTAGAATCGTATATAACTCCAGTAATATTGAGTTACGTGGAAAAATATGTTAAAAACTTCAAGCCAGAACAATCGCAGGTAATTATTATAATTATTATTGATTAGATATTTTAGTTGAGTAAAAAATTTATACTTGCACAAATTTATATTTATTATTATTATTATTATGAATTTTGTAATTATTTTTACTTTTGTTATTTTAGGTATCCTTATGGGGTGGAGATGCATCTTTTCAGAATCTTGATCTGCGATTAGAAGTATTAGAGGAGCAATTAAATCTTCCATTTAGCCTCGTTAGTGGACATATCCATGAATTGTTAATTCATGTACCGTGGGTTAAAATTACATCAGAACCCATTGTTGTCACTATTAATACAATAGGTAAGAAACAACATTTTTCTTTCCTTCTTTTTTTCTATTTTTTCTTATTTTTCCCTCATAAATAATTGAATATAATTGAATTTTTGCAAAGATTTTTATTATCTATAAATATAATTGAATTGTTTCGAAGGATTTATTAAAAGTTTAAAAAATAATTGAATTTTTGCAAAGAATTTTACTATTTACAAACATAATTGAATTTTTTTGAAGAATGTATTAAAATTTTAGAAAATAATTAAATTCTATTGAAATTTTTTATAACGAATTAAGAAAAAAATTGAATTCTTTCGTGAAATTGTTTTAAATATAATTAAATTTCTGCAAAGAATATTATTATTCGTGTATATAATTGAATTATGTCAAAGGATTTATAAAAAATTTGAATGTTTTCGAAAAATATTATTAAAAATTAAAAAACAAATTGATTCTTTCGTGAAATGTTTTTCAAATTGTATTAAAAATAATTGAATTTGTGCAAAGAATTTTACTATTTATAAATAATATCGAATTGTTTCGAACGATTTATAAAAATTTTAGAAAATAATTGGAGTCTTTTGAAATATTTAATATCGAATAAAAAAAAAAATTGAATTCTTTCGTGAAATTTTTTTAAAAATAATTTAATTTTTGCAAAGATTTTATATCGAATAAAGAAAAAAAATTGGATTCTTTAGTGGAATTTTTTTGAAAATAATTGAATTTATGCAAAGATTTTACTATTTTAAAAAATAATTGAATTGTTTCGAAGGATTTATTAAAATTTTAGAAAATAATTGTATTCATTCGTGAAATGTTATTAAAATTTTGTTTGAAAATAATTGAATTTTTGCAAAAAATTTTACTATTTATAATAATTGAATTCTTACGAAGAATGTTATTATTTCTGTACCTAAATAACTGAATTCTTGAGAAGAATTTTATTAAAATTTTTGAAATTATTAAACAAGAATAATTAATTAGTAAATTAGTTGATAATTGAATTTTTTTAAAATTTGAGTCTAAAATTATTCAAAACTTCATACTTGAAAATAGAAAGTTTTGTAATTTGCATAATAATAATTATAAATTAAATATCACGTTTCGCGAGTAACATTTGCTAGTTAAGTAATAAACAAAAAAATAATTAAGTAATAAAATTTTGTATTTCAGAATGCATTTTAAAACTTAAAGATGACTCTCACAGCGACAATTCTTCGTCATCTTATCAAAAAAGACAAAGCGAAATTGTTCAGTAAGTAACATGGAAAATTGCTTATGACCAAATTTTTTTTTATTTCCTTTTTTTCCATTTATGGTTATTGTATTACATTGATTGGAATTGAATTTTAGAGAAGAAACACCACCTGGATACATTAAGAGTATAGTAACAAAAGTTATAAATAATATAACGATAATATGTAACAATTTAATATTGAAGTACGTTGAAGAGGACATTGTTCTCAGTATTAATGTCCGACATTTGAGCATGCAAACTGTTAACAACAAATGGGAACCGGCATTTGCGGGTGAGTTTACAAAAAAAGAAATTTGCGATTTTAAGAATCGATGATAAAATTAATTTTTTATTTTTTCAGACGTCAGTAGCTATGAAGTTATGTTACAAAAACTTATAACTATTCAAGATTTGACTCTTTGCTTAGACAAAATGGACACTTCTGGAAAAATAGAAATTTATCAGGTATTTAATTTCTAAAATTCAAATCAGTAATTTATGAAAATATTTTTAATACAAAATATTTCGTTTATTTGAACGTTCATAACTTGTGGATCATGATATAATTGCGAATATTTTTATTTTTTCTCTAAAATTGTAACGAAATGAAATAATTGCAAATATTTGTATTCACTCTCTAAAATTCTAAATAAATAAAAAAAATTGTAAATGTCTTAATTAAGAAACTAATTAATTTCGAATTTTTAGGATCCTGTATTGTACAGATGCTCGATGGTGATTCGAATGATAATGAATTATCATAGCAACACATCCAAACGGGCTTCAGTCACGAGATTAGATCTTCACTGTGAAAAAATGGAATTTAGTACAACTGAACAGCAAGTACCGATGCTTTTGAGACTAACAGCTCTACTTATGGCATTGAGAACTAAACAATTTCCCGAGAAGAAAGACAAATCCTCGAATTCTGCCGATGACAAAGATAGCAACTCGCAAGGTTCGCGATCATTTTTGTCTAAAGTTCAAAATGAATAATATTATTTTGTCGAAATAAACAGAAAAACTATCAAGTTCTTAATTAAAAATTAAAATAATTTTCTTTATTATCATTTACAGAAGATTCTAATTCTGGATCTGGAGCTTCGACCGAAGTGGTCGGTTGGGGTGGATGGGCATGGAACACTATGTCTTCTATTTTTCCAGTTGCTTGGGATAATGACTGGTCAAATGATCATGAACTGGCTTTTGCCGGACACACGGTTCACCTTGGAATTTACATAGATGATGCAACACTAACTTTCAAGGTATTTTACTTAAAATATTATCACGAGGATAATAATTCAAAAAACCTATTTTTCCTTTTCTTTGAAACTGTATTTCTATTTTGTTAAATTTTCACACAGGGAAACCTTTTTTCAATGAGTTCTTTATTTGTTACTAGTGTTTTTTTCATTTGAACTGATACAATTTTAATTTTAATTTTAATCTTTAAATGTCACTAGGTTACAGAGAGCATCAAGGAACAATTATTTTACAAGCCACGGAAAATTAAGTACAAATCGTTTCTATCTTTGAGATTCACTGGGGCTGTCGTTGATGCTTTATTTCAAGGAATGTCAATGACTAATTTTCAAATGGGATTTGGAAGCATAAATGTGTATCCTAGAGGTTCTTGTAGTTGTGGTCATCCCGAGGTTATTGATGGAGTTAGGGTAAGATTTGCACCTAGATTAGTAAAAAATATAACATTTTTTTTTATTAATACGTTACAGTTTCATTTTTTTTTTAAGTATAAAATTTATTTCATAAAAAAATTAAAGAAAACAAAACTTACAACGAATATTATAAAAATTTACTCTTGAAATGACAATTTTTAATAGCAAAATTTACTATTTTCAATGTTAGTTTTTGTATCAAAATATAATTGTAATTGGTAAAAATTAAGAATTATTATAAATAGAAAAGTGGATTAATTCTTTATAATGTTTTTAAACTTTTTTAGCCTCCTTTGTACTTAATGGTCGGAAAAGCCACCATTGATCATTTGAAGGACACACTTTTTGACGATGAAGCTGTAGAAAATAAAGGCAAGAAAAGAATCTACAAACAGGGAATTGAAAATCACCTTTCTTCTCATCCAGGTATTCTAGATTCACTCTTTTTAATTAACTCCAATATTTATCTATTTATTTTACAAAAGAATAGGTTTTTTAAATTATTTAAGTATTGTTTTCCTAAAAAAGTGTAAAATATAAAAATGTATGTAAAAATATAAGAATAAAATACAGAAAAGTAAAAAATTAAATTATAAAAAACATAAAAGTAAAAAAAGTAAAAGATTAAGTAAAACCATAAAAAATGTAAAAGTAGAATATAAAAATATAATATTCATTATTTACTATAACATATTCAAAATATACATAAAATTAATATGTAACTTTTTTATCAAAATAAAAACAAGTGGAGAAACTGCTAGAGAGGTGTCCAGCATTTATGATCGATTATGCCCATCACATGGTGTTATCAGAAGACGTTACACCTGAAGATTTATTAGAATTTGGAGCAAATTTTGAGTACAGGTATAATTTTTTGCAATTAAGTAGCGAAATTTAAACTATTTCAATTAAAAGTACGTTTTCTAATTAATTTCGTACTTTTGCAGCAATTTTCCAGAACACAGAGTGGTGAGATTTGCCATTGGCGATTTAATGATTCGCTTGAGTTCTGGTGTATTTCATCGTGCTGATACAATAATTCAAGCTGCTTCAAAATACGATTATGCGCCATACATTGTACCAAAACCAGGTAATGATTTTGCTCAATAAAATTAAAAATTGCAAAAAAAAAAAAATTTGTCAAAAATTTGTAAAAATTACAAAATCATAAAGTTTTGAACGTTTAAATAAACAAAGTATTTTTTCTTCTTCAATATTGTTAAAAATTACTAAACTAAATTAATAACTAACTAAACTACTAAACAAATTGAACTTTTATTTAGTTAAAAATAAATTTTTAAATTATGAAAAAACAATGTTTTGTAAGAAAATAAAAATTAAAGGAAGTAATAAAAATATTTTCGTTCATTTGAACGTTCCGAACTTTAGGGACATCGATTAGTGATGTGATTTATAATATATTGTGTTTTGATAAATTTTTTAATTTGGAGAATTATTTTAATTTTTTAGATCCGACTATTGATGAATTACCGCCAGTAACGGTAGAGGAATATGAAGCATTAAGAGAAAATATTTCCAAAATGGAAATCAAATTATTTATGATTAGAGGCGCAATTCAATTGCAATTGGCTGATCATCGAATTACGGGTTTGCAAAGACAGCGAAAATACGTCGAGTCTCGAGTAAGTTTCCAATACAAATTTGAAATTTAGTTGTATTTAATGCGTTTTAATTATCACTTATTCAAACTATTATTTTTGTAATAATTACAGATTTTTATTCTATTTTTTAATTTTAATATTAAATTCTTAATAATATTAATATAATAATTATTTTTAATTAATTTTCTAAAAATAATTTAATTTTTTCTAATTGTCTAATTGTTTTCTTTTACTAAAGAAGAATAAAGGCAACTTTTTCGTTAAAGAAAATAAATTGATTAAATAAAATATTAATTAAAAATTTTGATATTACAGACGGAGCCTCTAACGCCTGCACTCTCGGATGATCCTTACACAACAATTGAATGGGATGAAATTTTAATTGAAGTGGAAGAACCAATCTATCCATTTAGACTTGCTGCGTGTGCTTCCAAACAAACTGATCTACCTCAAGATATGTTTAATCAGTGTCATAGAGAAGTGAAAGGACTGGTAAGGAAAATATTCTAAATTATCATCTAATTTTCAAAATTTAACATGAAAAAAGAATACTATTACAATAATTAAATTAATAAATTAATTACCTAATTTTTACAGATGCAGGGGCTAAATTTTCAACTTTATTTAAAACCCACCTGCCATACTTCAATAATAATGCCTTGTACAGTTAATTTTAGTATGACCATTTTACTCTATCGACAATACTGGACGAGCTTAGATGTGATTCATAATTTCTATTCTTTCGAAATTGATGGAATCACTATAACTGGTACAAAATCAAAAATTATGGTTGCAAGTTCTATAATATCGTCTGTTTTTCAACCAAACGATACGACCAATGCTCTCGTGTGTTCATCTCTTTTCGATGACGCTTGCGATGAAAAGAGTAAGTTTTTCCTGAATTGAAAATTTAATTTTAAAGAAAAAAAATTTATTTTGTACTTCTTTTTCAAGAAAGTTACAATTTAAGTCTTAAAAATTATTCTGAAAATACTAAATTTTAATTTTTTGAAACTGAATTAAAAAGAAAAGGGTAATTATTGAAATTATTTTTTAATCGTTATTTATTTTATTGTTTCAGAGCCAACGTATCTTGAACTGTGTTTAGAAAATATAAATCTTAGAAATATCAAGTCACTGGCAGTTCAGTCCACTATTGTCAATGTAGGCTCCATTAAAATTTTTGCTCACAATGAAACCGACCAAGCTTTCATTCTTTCGGGTCCAGAAGTAGAAGATCAACGGTATTTCATTTCAATTAAAAATCCATTATATTCAGTATTTTTCTAATTAATTTTTTTAAGAGCTGTAATATTGAAATTCAAATTGTATTATTAATTCACATCGAATCAAATTTCAAATCGAATTAAATTTCAAATCGAATTAAAACTCAAATTGAATGAAAACTCGAATTGAATTAAATTTTGAATTGAATTAAAACTCAAATTGAATTAAATTTTAAATTGAATTAAAATTCAAATTGAATGAAAATTTAAATTGAAAGAAAACTCAAAAAATCGAATTAAAATTCACTTAATTTAAATATAAATTGGAAAAATTTTGTTTTACAGAACTATGGAGTGTAATTCTCTTCTATCGGCTGTGATACAATATTCCAAAGACTCGAAAAATCAAAGATTCCCAACTGTAATGTCATTCCAAGTAGGACCGGTAAAAGGATGTCTAGATCCTTTACTTCTTCAGTGGCTTGAGTATCGCGTGAAATATTACAAATTAGATACACTTTATTCAGCGAAACCGGAAACGAGACAACAAACATCTGAACCCTCATCAAATACTGAAAGTAAAAAGAGAAAATTTCCTAGTCTACATGAAAGTGTTCACAGTTCGTCTGATAAAGAAAAAAGGAAACATGACGATGTGACGGAAAAATCGCCTACTATTTATAAAATTAATGAGACTGAAAAAAATCAACCAAGTAACGAAAGTATGAAACAAGAGGTAAAAAGTATGCTGCAGTTTTATTTTCTCTAATTTTAATTATCGAATTTCTAGTTTCTAAAAATAATAATCTCTGAATTATATTTATTTTCCAATTTATCTTATTTCGAACGTTCAAATGAATGCGACGATATTTTTTCCTTTTATTTTACTTCTCTTTTGTATTTTTTTAAAATTATTTTTTGTATTAAAGAAATAATTCTTAACTTAGTAAATTTAAAATTTTGAAATTTAGTAAGTTTTTAGTATTTTATAAATTTATACATAATTTAGTAATTTAGTAATTTTGAAAAATATTTTATCAGAAAGAATGTCCTTCATTTGAACGTTCAATTTTTCAGAAAAATTATTGATTTTATTGTTTTAATAATAATAATAATAATTAATATTCTTGTGAAGAAAAATTGTCCCATAAAAAAGTAATGGAAAAATTTGAAATAATCTACATAAAGTGAATAATCTTTATAATTTCAGAATTTAGAGAAACCAAAATTATTGGAAAGATTAATCGAGCTTTATCCTTGGTGGCATGGCCTTGTGTTAAGTGGATATGTTGGACATATTACAATTTATATACCAACGAATACAATGAGTGGAATCGATGCCAACGGTATGAATTTTAATTAACTTGTCTTTATAATTTAAATCCGATTTCAAATTAAATCGGAATTGAAATAATTACTTTTTAATATTATTTAGGTATCGAAGAGGCAAAAGATCGAGCGATACGAAATAATGAAAATCTACAAGTATTGGTGGTAAAAATGCCAATGTTGCTTATAAATTCAGCCGGTGCTCAAGCTGATCTTTTGAAACAACATCTCGAAATCCTGCCAATTATTCTACCCAAATCGCTTTGGACAAACAGTAAGAATTTTTAAATATTTAATCATTTTTTAGTTTCGTATTTTTTTAATTTTTTTACTTTTCATTTCGTCTTTGAAAAAATAGTAAAATGTCAAATTTATTTTCTCTTTCTCAGATCATCAAAGTTTTCCCTGGAAATTAGAAATTTTAGATTTTCAATGTTACACTCTGAAGCAGGGAGACAGGAAAAATTTTATCAAACAAGTTTCCTTCAATGCAACAATAGCTTTAGCAACGAAATTAAATTCATCTGAACTAAACAGTAAACTCTCGTCAATGCAATTATCGATTTACGTCGATACTTCGCCAATTATTATTTCAGCATCGGAAGAGCAGGTAAATTGAAAATTAAATTAAATTCAGAATCAATTACTGGAAAATTAATAGTAGACAAAATTAATTCTCTTTGTAATTAATTCCATTTGTACTTGATTCGTATTGCAGATAATTTTTCTAAGAGATATAATATCGAAGATTACAAGAACTTTACAAAATATCGTCGAAATGAAGAAAAATATTTACACTTCATCGTCACTTGTAAAAAATGATCAGGAATCTCTCCTCATTATGCCATCTCCTACAAGTCCTTCGCAATTTGCCTATCCGGAAGATACGACGACAACGTCAACAGTGTCTGTGTCCAAGGATAATTTGAATCAAGGTATGAAATTCTAGAGCAAAAATTTAAGCAAAATTTAATTTATTTGATTTAATCAAATTATTCGAATTGTATTTCTTTTTTCCTTTACTTTGATCGTTAAAATTATTATCAATTATTTGATTTAATTTATTCAAATTTAATTTAAAAAATGTAATTTAATTCAAAAAATGTATTTCTTTTTAATGAATCAAACAACCAAGTTTTTAAATAAAATATAATTTTGTTTAGGATCATTAAAATATTTCTCTTATTTCACTAATTGTACTTAAGTCAAAATTTTTTAAACTTCCATTATAACAATATTTTTCAGAAAAAAGTGGATTAACTTTGTCCGCTTGGGTTCAGTGGACAATAACAAAAGTTATCGTTAAATTTTACACATCACAACAATCTGATTCGGCTCTTTTAAAATTAGTTTTGGAATTGGAAGACATTATAACATCAGCTGATATACAACCTGTTTATTTCAAACTAGTTCATAAAATAACAACTGCCACGATTTTTCATTATTCCAGGTAAATTGAAATTTTCCTATTTTATTTAACATTTATTTTAATACATATTTAACTTGTGCGCAAAAGGCGGTATTTTTAAAAATTTTAAATTTTTGGTCAAATTACTTGAAAGTATTCAATTATTTTCAAAAATTTTGACAAAATTTATTTGAAGAATTCAATTAATTTCAATTCAATTTTTATAAAATTTCTAGAAAGAATTTAATTATTTTTAAAACCTTTAATAAAATTATCCTATTCTATTCTAATAATAAAATTCTTGAAGAAAATTCAATTATTTTCAAAAATAATAAAACTCTTGATAAATAATCAATTATTTTTAAAAATAATAAAATTCTTTACATAAATTCAGAATTTTAAATAATTAAAAGAATTTAATTATTTTTATGAATTTCAATAAAACTATTTTCTGAAATTCAAGTATTTTCATAATGTTCAATGAAACTCTTCGAAATAATAAATTCAATTATTTTCAAAAAATTGAATAAAATTCGACGCAGGAATTCAATTATTTTTATCAGTTATAAAATTCTTCTGAGAAATTTAATTATTTCCAATAAAATTTAATTATTTAAAAATTTTTTAATAAAATTCATTCAATGAATTGATTTTTTTTTCAAATATTTCAAAAAATTGTTTAAAAGAATTCAATTGATTTTAGCACAATTTTTGTTTAATTCCTTGAAAGAATTTAATTATTTGCAAAAGTTTTAAATAAAATTCCTCTCAAGAATTAAATTGTTTCAGATTCGAAATCATAATTATTAAAAAAAATTAGAATAAACATTTTTTTTCCCAAAAAATTTATTTTTGTTATTTTTTAATTTTCAAAGCCTTAAATTAGATTTTCCTTAATTTTTAAGTTCATATTACAAATTAGAAATTAAAATTTTATCAAAATTTTGAATATTTTCGTTTACAATTTGTAAAATTAAATTATTTTTTTCTACACAGAGCTCCAAATAATCGAAATTGGGATTTTGGCGAATACGTCGGCTTATTAATGTGCGGGCGAGAGGATAATTTTGAGAAAGGCGAAGACACGGGATTCTTGAATTTCACATTAACAAAGGCAAAATTGGGAAATGTTCATACTCGTTGGGGTGCGAATAGACAGTACAAGTCCCATAAGGTATTTTTCTTTTCTCTTACTTAAAGTGATTGATGAACTGATTAAATTAAATGTTTTTACTTAAATTTAAATTTTATTTCATTTTAATTTTACGATTTTAATTTTCCTCTCTATTTCCCAGAAGGACTTTCGTGCCGAAGAAATGAAGCTCTCAGGTAGTTATATTACTGAAGTGGATGTAAAGATTCAAATGCTGGATCTTATTTTACCGCCGAGTGTGGTAGGAAAATTTGTGCAATTAGTTAAACCATTTTTAAATTTTCATGATAATATCCCAAAGAATTCAAGTTTACAAGAAAGCGCTTTCATTCCGCCCTTCATTGGTATCACAAAATTAAGAAATGAGACTCTTCCCCTTGTTTATTTGGATTTTAAGGGAATTAGACTGATGCTTCCAGTTTCGACGACAATTTTGCAAGGATTACAGCACGATCTCCTAATGTTTCAGGTTTGAATAATTAAATACTCATTTCGGAAAAATTTCTCTTTCTCTCTCTCTATATAAAACTTATATAAAAATATTTTCCTCAACAGTTAGATGGTATTAAAATTTCACCTCGGGCTGAAAATCCTATTTGTAGAATTCCATTACGCATGGATGTTTATCAACTTGCGGCGCAAGCGAATATTTTGAACATTCCAGGATCTGCGGTCGAGGATAGACAGTATCAAATTAATGTTAATGGAATTTCCACTTATACGACTACTTGGAAAAATTACCAACAAAGTATTACGAAGGTATTAGCAGAAATTAAATTTACATTGATTAAATTTACTTGATTTGTAATTAAAAATTAGTTATTTGTCGATAATATTTAGATAATTTTTTCTTCTCTTTTATTTATGAAAATAATTTTTACAGAGAATGTCTCAATCGTATCTTTACACAATGCATGAAAATCCGGCAGTTGAGTGGAATAAATTAGGAAATGGAAGCAGTTTGGAACTTCACTTTTCTACTTTTCCGATAATAACAAGGTAAACAATATTCTTCTAATTAGTTAATTCACTAATTTCTAAAATTAATTTTTTACATTTAATTAAATACAAATTGATTGAAATTGATTCAAAATATTTTTCATTTCCCGAAGGTTCGACCTTTGTATTATAATTGCACCAACGATTATATTTCAACCAAAAATAATTGTGTGCGGAAGCGCTGCCGAAATAAATTGTCTCACGGATATTGAAGTCACAATGAATTTGCATCAAATTCGTTTAATATCTGCTCTTCATGCCGAATTCAATAATTTATTTTCCGATCTAAGGGTACCAAACACTTCCACTGAAATTGCAAAATCTTGCTCAACGAATGCCAAGAGTTCGCCTCTCAAAACCAACATTGCCAATGAATCAGAAGTTGAATTGTCATTTGATTTCGAAACAGCGAGTATGAATTCTATGAATATTGTAAGAATTTTACAATTTAATTATCGAAAAAAATTTACCATACTTTAAAAAAAACATACCTTTTTAAATTTTCAATATTTTTTTCTTTTTCAGGAGAAGCCATTAACTCAAGGAGCTGTTACGCTTCCTCCTTTCGAATTTTTAGTGAATTGCGGAAAAATCACTTTTATTTGTTATGAACTACAAAAGTCGCTTGATAATCTCTATTCAACTGTATGTATTCTTTTTGTTTTTATTTATTATTATTATTATAATCATTTTGTTTCTTGTTATTAGTTTTCTTCTTATTCTTTAATTCTTTGGTTTTCTATTTTTATTTCTATTTTTTTTATACAGATTGTTTTTTGAGTTGTTTTTTGGTATTTTTGAGTATTTTTGTATTTTTGAGCCCACAATTTGGTTTCAGGAAGACGAAGATATTTTCGAAGACGATAACAGTCAGTACAAGCAGCTTTTATTTTATTTTATGATCGATCAACCAAATTTGTACATCTCTCAACAGCACTTGACCCAAAAAATTCAGGTAAAGAATTTTTTAAACTTTAAAAGAAAATTAAAATTAACTTTTAAAAAAATATTTCATTTATTAACAATATTTCACAGTTTTCCTGTTTCGATATGGCAATTTCATTGGGAAATGAGGAGCGTCAAGATTATACTTCAATGCCAACTAGTGAAGATTTTAAAGTGTTTATAATTCAAGTAAAAAGTGGAGAACGTCATCCAGACACAGGAATTCCGCCTTCGTTTATTACAATAAAATGCGAAACGTTACCAGGAAAAAGTCCACAATTCTTCCTCGACATGGGACGACCGACAAAAATGTACTTTTCCTTGGAGAGGCAAAAAAAAGTTAATTCGATCCTCGAGAAGGTATGAATTTCATTAAATAATTTTTGAAAGATAATAGTTTTCCAATTTTGAAAAATTTCCAAACAATTAAAATTTGGTAAAATTTTTTAAAAATATAATAATTGAATTTTTAAAAAATATAAATAAAAATGATCAAATTTCTGAAGAATTTTAATTATAAAAAGGACCATGATCTCTCAAAAATTTTAATAAGTCCAAAATGTAAATAAATGTTTATAGTTATTTTTCGGATTATAAAAATCAAAATAAGTTGCACTTTTTTACTAAAAATTGTTTTATTTTGTTGCAATGTTTGTAAAAAAAAGTCGAAAAAGTCACAATTTTTGAAAATAATCGAAAAAAGTCTCAATTTTCTTAATTTCTCTGCTAAAAATTTTTTTCCTGACATTTCCCTGACTTTACTGGCAAAAATTTTGTTTCCCTAACATTTCCCTGACTTTACTGGCAAAAATTTTGTTTCCCTAACATTTCCCTGATTTTACTGACATGTGGCCTCCCTGAATTAAAATAAATAACAATAAGTTTTTAAATATTTGTTTAACAAAAAATTATTAAAGTTTTGAATAATTTGAAATAAAAATTCTAAAAAAATTATGTTTTTGAAAAATTGTAATTAACCATTTTTTTAAGATAATTGAATTCCAGAAAATAATTTTAAAAATTGAAACGATGAAAAGTTTTGTTAAATTTTATTATTTAAATAAAGTATATTTTTGAAAGAGTTTAATTTAATTCCCTTTTAAAAATTGTTTTTAAATGTAGTCGTATTTTTGAAGAATTATATTTCCTAAAATAATATTTTGTAAAAAATAATAAATTTTCATTGTATTTCAAAAAGAAAGTTTTTCTAGCTAAGAATGGGATGTAAAATTTTACTCTCGCTAGTTTATGTATTATTATATTATTTATTATTTTAATTTTATTCATTTCTTTGTATTATTATTTTCTCATAAAGAAAGGATTGGATTTTTATTTCTTATTAATTATTATTATTGTTAATTATTTTCTAGGTAAAGGCGTGTTTCGTCGAGAATGAAAGTATCACAAAATTATCCACAAAGTCTTCTAGCGATCTGACCAACATTCACCAGGAATCATCTCCTCGTTCAATAAAATACACAATACCCGATTTCAATCTCATCACAAAACAAATAGTATTTTCCTTCACATCAGAATCAGGAGCGGAAATAATAATTAGTCTAGCTTCATTGGCTGGAAGTGTATTAAATGTCATCAGACCCGAGAGAATTTATGGAAATGTGACATTAGATTCGTTTGTGATATCGGGCTCGTTTCGTGATAATATGAAAGTTTTCTTAAATCCCTGGTGCTGTAATGTGACCATATGCTTACTCTGGGAATCGTGGCAGGATGTAAATTCATTTCCACAAATACAAATACAAGCTGACAGCGATAGTATTCATTTGAATTGTGGTCCACAGCATTTGCAAATAATTAAGACTGTTTTATTTGATTTGCAAGAATTTTTCAGTCGCAACACTCGTCAGTCTTCGGACAATAAAACACAGCCGAAACAATCATCGACAATTACAGAGCAGCATTATAAGGATGATTTAAAATCGGGCGTCTTTCAGTTTGTCGATGGGACTGCTGATGATCTTCCATTACCCTATCAGGTAATTTACTTTTTATTTATCAACTATTTATTGGCATTGCGATAATTTATAATAAATTTGTATATTTTGAATTTTTGGGAATTTTTTTTAGGTCGTATTCTTTACATTTCCGCAACAAGCGATGGCTTGGAGGTATCCGCATCCTAGAGCTCTTACGAGGATTCATGTTTCTCCGGTTCCCTTTGAGGTAATTATTCAAAATTTTTTGTTATCACATTATAACTTGGTTTATAAATTATTACTATTTTTATTGATGATTATGAGATGTCATTTCAATTAATTTCGAACATTTTAATGAAATTCTTCGCAAGAATTCAATTATTATCATAAATAATAAAACTCTTCTTAGGAATTCAATTATTTTCAATACAATCTCAACAAAATTTCTTGATGAAATTAAATTATTTTTTAAAATTTTAATAAAAGTTCTTGATGGAATTCAATTATTTTTTTAAATTTTAATAAAATTTCTTAAAAGAAATCAATTACTTTAAAAAATTTTGATAAAATTCTTCAGAAGATTTCAATTATTTTCAATGCAATTTTAACTAAATTGCCCGGAAGAAATTTAATTTTCTTTGAAACAATTAAATTATTTTTAAAAAGTTTAATAAAATTCTTTTGAAGGGATTCAATTATTTTTATAAAAAATAACATTTTTTGGTGGGATTTAATTATTTTCAATTCAGTTTCAATAAAATTCTTAGATGAAATTCAATTATATTTTTAAAATTTTAATAAAATTTTTTTGAAAGAATTTCCTTATTTTCATAAATTTTGGTAAAATTCTTAAAAAAATTTCAATTATTTTCATTAGAATTTTAATCAAATTTATCCGAAATAATTGAATTATTTTCAAAGATTTTAGTAAAATTCTTCGCAAGGATTCAATTTTTTTAATAAATAATAAAACATTTCTCAAAAATTCATTTATTTTCAATAGAATTTACCTTTTGAATTTATTTTATTTTTTTTAAATACATTATTTAAAATTTTTTCTTAAATTCGTCGAAAAAATTAAATTATTTATTATACGAATTTTAACTGAATTCCTTAAAAGAATTTTAATTCTTTTTCGAAACAGTTTAATTATTTTCAAACATTTTAATAAAATTCTTGTCAAGAATTAAATTATTTTCAATACAATTTCAATAAAATTTTTGGATGGAATTCAATTATTTATAAAAATTTTTGTAAAATTATTTGAATGAAAATTCCATTATTTAAAAAAATTTATTTTAAATTCTTCGAAAGAATTCAATTGTTTTTAACACAATTAAAACTAAATTTCTCAAAAGAATTAAAATTTTCTTCTGATCAATAAAATTATTTTCAAAAATGTTAATAATTAATTCTTTACAAGAATTCCATTATTTTGATAAATAATAAAATTTTTCGCAGGAATTCAATTATTTTCAATATAATTTTAATAAATTATTTTCATAAAGTTTTGATAAAATTCTTTAGAAAAATTAAATTAGATTTTTTCAGTACAATTTTAATTAAATTACTCGTAAGAATTAAACATTTTTTCTAAAAAATTGTAGATATTTGTATTTTTAGAAATTTTATAAGTTTTTTACATTTTTATTTAATTATTTTTGTAAATTATTAAAGTGCTTTACAGTATTTCAATTATTTTCTGTACACTTTTTATAGAATTCTTTCCAGAAATTATATTATTTAAAAATTGTTAATAAAATTCTTCGCAAGGTTTGAATTATTTTCATAAATAATAAATTTCTTCGCAGGAATTAAATTATTTTCAGTACAATTTTTAAAAAACTTCTCGAAAGAAAAAAAAAGTTGCAAGAAATTCTTAGTAATATTCAATTACTTAAATTCAAAATTTTCAATTGGAATTATTAAAAAAAATATATTATTTTCAAATATTCAAAGAAATTCTTTAAAAAAATTCAATTATTTTCAATAATTTTAATAAATCTCTTCGCAAAAATTCAATTATTTTCATAAATAATGTATTGAAATTTCTAGATTTTTCTTGCACAAATACTGTTAGAAAATTGATTCTCTAAACCAGAATTAGTAAAAATTTGAACTAATTAGAACAAAAGACATAGAATCATAGAATTATGATTTTTAATTCAAAATAATTTTTATTATTAATTTTTGTTATTATTTAATCTTCAATTATTAGAATTTCATTCATTTGTTAAATTCATAACATTTGAAAAGAAAAATTTATCAATTTTTATTGATAAATTTTTATTTTTAAATTTCAAGAAAAAAACAAAAGCCACTAATTATTATTATTTTGTTTGAACATTCAGGCGTGGAGTGAGGACGACACAGAAGATCGAATCCACTGTGTGATTGAATATTGGAGCGATAGCCAAGGTGCTTATAAAAAATACGTAGAATTCTACTTGTCGGAGACGGATAGCTATCGTTTGGATTTGCCCGACAAAACGCCAGCTCGTGCAGTTGCCAGCGTTTGGAGAATTGTTTTGGGAGCATCGAATCCAACTCTTTCGAAAACTCTAGTACCAACTCGAGCATTGATTGCCTGCCTACGAATTGATTCCTATTTTAATTCTCTCATCATTCCAAACATTCAAGCCGCACTCAATGTCAGTTCGATTAATCTTGCTCTGTACAATTACATTTCTCCGAATGCTTACGAAAATCTTCCACCACCACTCACCGAATACACACTCAACGGAATGATTCCCGAAATGCAATGCTTCATGTGCGTCGAGCACAAGGAAGCTGTTTTCATCTTCAACAAATGGCTCGACGGTTCCGCTCTCATTGACATTAGTGGAATTCTCCGCGTTCATATTTTGGATTACGGACTTTTGATACTTCAAGAAGTTATTGACAATATGTACGAAAAATTACAAATATCAATCAGTGAGAAAACGGATGTTTCGATGACTTGTAGTCCATTTTCTCTGAAGTTGAGTCCAGCGATAAGTCACACTTTGGCAGTGTCTGCGAATTTATGGTCGATTGCCCTCGACGATGAAACTAAACCTGCGATTATTATAACAAGATTTATAATTGCTAACGATTGTAATATTCCGATTCGTTTTGGTCAGAATGGTACGGACGATAATATTTTATTGAAGAGTAGAGAGTGTTATTTTTATTCGTGGAGGCACGCTAATAATCAATCGTTGAGAATATCGCTGGAGGATAATGCTTGGATTTGGAGTAAACCATTTGCTGTCAGTAGAGATGGAGTGCAGAATGTTGATTTTGGAAATTCTTCGGATATTTTGATTACAATCACTGTGTCCTCGATTTCGGCGACACAAAAATTAGTCACATTCTCGGGACAATTTATTATTTCGAATCAATTGACGGATAATTTTCAAATGAAATTGGTTAAATATGAATTACAATCGAAGGAGAAATCAGGACAATTTCAGGATTTGTATTTTGTGCCAGGAAGAAGTCAACCCTCGTCGATTGTCCTGGGCGATAATTCAAATATGACAATGCGTTTGAGATTTTCGAGTATTCCAAATCTTTCGTGGACTGGTGACATTCCATTGCAGCCGAATACAAAGTGGGGTCAACCTTGGCTTGTTAAAGGTAAATTTTTGTTAAAATAAAATAAATAAGACTTGGAAATATATATATTATTTTTGCAGGCTTTGCACTCATCATAAAATCTACTATTTACTACTTTTTTACGATTTGCTACTATTTGGATACTTTTTGACACTAAAAGTTACTTTTTTCTTTCTTTGAGAATTTGCAGTGCTTTAAATCCGCTAATAGTTTAAAGTAGAAAAAAATATTTTCAAACATTTTAATAAAATTCTTTGAAACGATTCAATTATTTTCAAAAATTCTCAGTGAATTTTTTACGAGATTTCAATTATTATCACAAATAATGAAATTCTTCGTTGAAATTCAATTATTCTTGTTATCTTTATATTTTAATAAAACTTCACAAAAGAATTCAATTATTTAAAAAATATTTAATAAAATCTTTCGCAAAAATTCAATTATTCTCATAAATAAAATTTCAACAGGAATTCAATTATTCAAAAAATATTTAATAAAATCTTTCGCAAAAATTCAATTATTCTCATAAATAAAATTTCTACAGGGAATTCAATTAAAAATACAATTCTGAAGAAAATTATTCGAAAGAAATTAATTATCTACTTTTTAAATAAAATAAAATAAATAATTTAATTAAATTCTTCAAAGAAAATTAATTATATTAAAAAACTTTGATAAAATTTGTTTACAACAATTTAATTATTTTCAATACAATTTTTATTAAATTCCTCAAAAAAAATTAATTATTATCAAAAATTCTTCCCAGGATTTCAATTATTTTTAATACTATTTTAATTAAATTTTTCGAAATAATTCAATTATTTTTTTAAATTTTAATAAAATTCTTCAAAACAATTCAATTATTTCCAATCTCTTCTATTTTAATAAAAATTCTCGAAGTAATTCAATTATTTAAAAAAAATTTTATATAATTCTGCAACACAAAATCAATTATTTTTCATAATTTTTACAAAATTTGTTTAGAATTAAATTATTTTTAATAGAATTGCAATTAAATTCCTTCGAAAATTCAATTGTTTTCAAAATTTTAACTTAAAAAATTCGTGAAAAAAATTCAATTATATTTTCAAAAATAAAATTTTTCACATGAATTCAATTATTTAAAAAATTTTAATAAAATTCCTTGCAAAATTCAATTATCTTCACAGATAATGAAATTTTTTGCAGGGTTTCAATTATTTTCCATATAATTTCGAAAATTTTTAATGATAGAATTCAATTATTGTCAAAAATTTTTTAGAAATTATTAAATTTTAAATTATTTTAAACTTGGAATCTTTGAACAATTTTATTTTTGTAAAACTAATAATATTTAAATATTTATTTCCAAAAGAATATTATTCAGTATTTACTTGAAAAATCATTAAAATTTTGAATAAATTTATTTAAATATTCTCAAAAAAAATTATTGAATTTTGGAATTACAGTTGTAATTTTTAGAAAAAGTTAAATTTCAAAAAGGTATTTAATTGAAATTATTTAAAATTTTAATTTCTATGAAAAAATAAATATGTGTAATTATTTAAATATTTATTTAATAAGAAATTATTGAAATTTAAAATATTTTAATTTGGAAGTTATGAAAAAAATAAGTCTTTTAAAAAATTGTAATTAAAATTTTTTAAAGATAGTTCAATTCTCGTAAAAATTTAAGATACTTGTCCAATTAATTGGAAATTTTGTCAAATTTAATTAAAATAAATTTTATATCTTAAAGAATTTTATTTTTTTACTCTTTTAAAAATTATTTCAAATCAGAAAAAGTCAGGGAAATACTTAATCAAGTTTTTGTGAAACGACAATCACGAGTTTTTTAGTCGTCAAATTTAAGTTTTTTATATCCACTTTTTTACTACTTTCTTTAGTCTTAAAGCTACATTTTGCTACTATTTTCAATTAATTATTATCGAGTGGGAAGTATTTTTTTGTACATTTTATTCTTGTATTTTATTTAAATGTGTACACTGTACATGGTATTACCATCATTTAGTTAATATTTAGTTCAAATTAATTGTTTTATTCGAATTATATTTGTCCTCAGTGCCTTTGCAAGAAAGGGGTCAATTTATCAGTATTTGGGTACGAATAGTAAAAGAAGAAGATCGAGGAAAGTCTAAAATTCTCGTAAGTGTTAAAACTGATAATTTTTCTCATATCTCAACAGATTTTATTAAAATAAATAAATAATTTTTTCACACAGGCTGTGCTGAGTCCTTTGTACATGATCCGTTCGTATTTACCAGTTCCTGCCAAAGTTCAAATCGAAACTCCTTCTTTAAAAGGATTAATTCACACGACTGTAATGGGTCGAGGAGAAAAACAACAATTGTACTGTCCTGGTACTTTTGAACATTTTCATCAACTCACGTTTCAATTGGAGTGAGTCTTGTAAAAAATCATTTTATTTTTCCAGTTATCTCTATAGGGGTAAAAAATTTCTAAAATTTCTCTTCTGCAAAAAGCAGTTTTACAGTCTAAAACTCTAAACCATCGATTTACAATATTTTAGTCTTGATTTTTAAATAAATAATTTTTTGTTTGCAGAAGTGGAGTATCGGCATCGAATCCCTATGTTCCGTTGTCTTACAGTTCGGTGGACCAAAGAGTATTTTTTAAGAGACCTGAGAAAGAAAATATACAGGAAATTCTAAAGGCATTAGAATCGTCGAAAAACGAATTGCAATGGCCTTTTCAAACTGACGAAATTTTCGAATGGATCGCTGCCGAACAACCTCAGACTCATGTTCAAGTAAAACTTTTACCGAATTAACTAAATTTAATACCTATTTTTCAATTTATTTTATTTTAATTATTTATTTATTTTTTTTACTTAGTTTTTTTTATTTATTTTATTTATTATTTTATTGTTATTTATTTATGCTTGAATTTTTTTTGTATTTTTAGGTAAAATACCAAGATGCTGGATTGGTCTCGAGTACATTGCTTTTGGAATTGCAACCTTGGTGTTTTCTTTTAAATTCTTCTGGATGTCACATTTCCCTAGTGGCCGAGGATATAGAACTTTGTTCTGTACCGCATTTCGGAATTGTAGCTCCTCCTAAATTGGAGGTAAAAAAAATTCCTTTTTAACTCTATATTTAAAAATTTATATATATTTTTTTAGCTATATCAACATTGATTTATTTTTTTTATTTAGGGTACTTTTAATTTGGGCGTTGCAATTGGAGACACATATTATACATCCTCCGCTCTTCAACTATCCCGACCTGATTGGAGTCAAAGTTTCTATATGCCCAAAATTGGCGGATTAATTCCACTCGAAGGGAATATGAAAACTCACGTTGATTGCGGATCTAGTGTAAGACTTCGTGATATTTAATTGAATGTTTTAAATCAATTTTGAATTAATATAACAAATTTAATTTAATATTCAATTTAATTTAATTTAGCAGTTTACTTTTTTTAATTCACTATTTTACTTTTTTAATTTAATATTTTACTGTTTTAATTTAATGTTTTACTTTTTTAATTTAATATTTTCCTTTTTTAATTTTCCCTTCTACTTTTTCTAATTTAATATTTTACATATTTAATTTTCCCTTCTACTTTTTTTTTAATTTAATATATTTAAATAAATTTGTATTTATTTTTTAATAATATTTTCAGGTTTGCATTTTAAACATCAAGAGTGCAATGCTGGAGGAAATGCGATTTGTGCGAATTTGTAGCAGTTTCGTTATTGGCAATATGACGAGTCAAGAACTATGTGTAGCTACTTTGGCCGTTTCGGAAGATTTGACTGATTTTCAACTGCCGGATGATCTTACACCTTTCAGTATAAATATCTTACCAACGGAAGATCAAAAGTAAGTGTATTAACAAAAAAAAAAAGTATTTATCCGTTTCTTTAAAATCCTATTAGACTAAATATAAAGGCTTATTGTAATTTAATTTAAAAAATAATTTACTATTAAAATACTATTAATAATAATTCTATTAAAATACTACTTTTAAAATATTAATAATAAATTATATTAATTAACAATAAAAATACTATAGTATTAATCGATTTTATAATAATTGTTTTAAGAAAAATTTTAATTTTACAGACAAGCAGTTTCAATAACACAATGGCATTCGATCGATTCATCAAATTTTGATTCAGTTGCTTTGTACGTATCGTTTAGCTTAGGACATCAATGGTCTTGTCCCGTGAGAGTTGATCAAAGTATTAATCGAAAAAGTATTGCGGTTCCGGTAAGTAATCTTATGTTGATTAAGAAAAGAATGATTGTTTTCTAATATTTGATTAATAATACTAATTTAATGACTTTTATTCGAAGAATGATTATTCAACTGTACCTGTTGTCGTCACAACACAAGAAGATAAAGGCACAATGTACATTTTAATTCATCCTGATGAACATCCTCAGCTGATGATAGATAATTCCTGTTTCTTCAAAATTTTCATTGGAGAAGCTAATGAAACTACAGGTAACAGTAATCTATTGAAAAAGCTAAAAAGATAGAAAGAAGATAAAATACTTTTTATTTCGATATATTTATTCAATCCAAATTAATTTGCAAAGGTATATATTTTTTTTGCAGATGGTATTGTGCAGGATACCCAACATTTTTCATGGATGTGTAAAATTGAAAGTGGTACTCTTTGTCACTATACAGTACCGACAGTTGCCAGTAGAATGCCAGATTCTTCTCCGACAAATGTTAGTTCAATTTTGGTGTTCTCCACACCTCCCACTGAGGACGATGATTTTCGCGAAAAAGGTAATCGTAAACTTTTTATATTTAATTATTTTTATTATTTATTGTCATTTTTTTATTTTATTATTATTTTTATTATTTATTAACATTTTTTATTTGACTATTATTTTTATTATTTATTATTATTTTTTATTTGACTATATTATTTTTATTATTCATTTACTTTTTATATTGTCAGAATTTTACGAGTGGTTATACTATCAGGCTGCTCATTTATTTTAATATTTTTCAATATATTTAATAGTATTATTATTTCTCAATGAGAAATAAATTTATTAATCTTCATTTTGAAAATTTTCAGATAACAAAACTTTAAGATGGTCTCGAGGTATAGTTTTGTCACCGTCAATTAATGGAACATCGGAGCAATTTGTCCGACTTCCGTATTATGGAGATGTTAAAGTGATCATGCAAACTCGATGTTATACAACTTATTTACATATTGGTCCGATTTCACAAGTGAGAATAATCTTTGAATATTTATCGTCTGTTTTAGAAACTTTCATATTTGTCGTTTTATAATTAAATAACAAAAAATCTAGAAGGAAATTTCGTTTCTATATTAAATAACAAAAAAATTTTGAACCTTCAGGTGGAAGTATCGGCTCGAGATATCAGAAGTAAATTATGCAAGACAACTAATTATAAATTACAAGAAACGGAAGTAATTTACAATCGGATGCTGTCGATACGAGAAGAAGAAAAGGACTTGGATAACGTTCAAGTACAAATTTTACTTATTTTCTTTCTGAAAAATTTGATTTAATTTGCACCGTTTAATAGATTTACTTTAATACTTTAATTTTTTTAATTGAATTTTAAACATTTTAACTGAGTTTTAAAAGTTTTAATTGAATTTTAAACATTTTAACTGAGTTTTAAAAATTTTAATTGAATTTTAAAAATGTTAAATTTGAATTAATTTCTTTTTATAGAATTCGGAAAGTTCCACTTCAGTGACAAGTTTTTTCTCGGCCGAAGACGATAATTTGGGTTTATCTTTGAAGAATCCAAAGGAAATGAATGTGAATTTAAAACCAATTGTGAAAAATCGTCCGAGTTATGATAATTTAAAATCTCTTGAGAAATCAAATGAGAGTAGTAAACCAAATGGTTTTGCAATAATTCATTTTCAAGGAATCACTTTAATCGTGATGCATGATATCAATGAAAATGGACAAAGAACAGAAGTCGCTAGTTTATCACTGAACGATACAATTCTCTCTATTGATTCAAGAGACAATCTCATGGACGCGAATATTTACATTGGTGATTTGCAATTTGACAATCAAATATTTGAGCAGGGTGGCTACGATTTTCCCGTCGTATTAATAAGTCAAAAAACTCCAACGAAAAAGGAGAAAACTTTTTACTTCAGCAATTGTCTAAAGAGCAATTTACAGCATATTACCGAGGGTTCCTTAGTGACAATTATTTTAAATTTTGAATTCGATGGAGGAAAGAGGGGTAAGTTTGGGGAAAAAAATTCTTTTTTAGAATTTTGTTTAGAATTCTTCTGTTTAGAATTTTTCTGTTTGGAATTTTTCTGTTCGGAATTTTTTTATTTGGAATTTTTCTGTTTGAAATTTTTCTCTCTAGAAAACTAGACATTTTCTTAGTCTTTTTTGAATTTTTCTTTAATTGGATTAATTTTTCCAGCTTGTAAAGAATTTCGAGCGAAATTGGCGCCGATCAGTGCTTACATCGAGGACACTTATGTTAGTCAATTATTGGATTATGCGGCAGCATTGATGCCGCCTTGTTTCATTAATTCCGATGGAGGGAAGAAAATTCACGAATTAACTGGAGCATCTAATGTGTACATACCAGATTATATAATGATTGATGCGAAAATCTTAAGTTCGCCATTGAGATTGCAAACTTTTACTATTGAGCCTTTGTCGATTTTATTAAGTGTACATACGTCGGTGCATCTTTACGTTGCACTCGATCACTCGCCCTTGTATTTTAACGTGTTCGAAAAGAAGAATTTCTTAACAACGCCCTACAGACTTGGAAATGCGCTCACTATGCACTATTTATCCGGAGCTATATTTGGAGCTGGTAAAGAGAAAAATTTACTTTAAATTTATCTTTTTCATTCCAACTTTAAATTAGTTACTTAAATTTAAATTAATTAGTTTCATTTTAATTTTGGTAAATAATATTTTTCAGGATGGGTTGTTGGCTCTTTGGAGATTCTCGGATCGCCAGGTGGATTAGCACAAGCTTTAGGTTCTGGTCTTAAGGATTTTATTGCATTGCCTTTTCAAGGATTATTACAAGGACCTTGGGGTTTTATTGTCGGCATAACGCATGGATCTGCTAGTCTTATGAGGCATATTACAGCAGGTGGGTTTTTTACCTTAAAGATGAATACAAATAATCTATATTATTATTAATAATCGTAGTATTTCGGTAATCTGTTCGCAGTTTGAAATTAGTAAGTTGTTGTTTGCTTTCTCGTTTCCTAACTTTTTTAATAATTTTTCTTTTTAAATGTTTAAAATATTAAAATTAATGTACTGAAAATCATTGAATTCTTGTAAAGTATTTATAAAAAAATTTGAAAAGAATTCAATTAATTTCAAGAATTTTATCAACATTTTTTTCAATAATTGAATTCTTTTCAGAAAATGTTATTGAAATTGTATTGAAAATAATTTAATTCCTGGCAAATTAAATTATTTTCAATAATTGTAATAAAATTCTTTGCAATAAGTAAATTTATAAATAATAATAAAAATCTTCGTAAAAAATTCAATTATTTTTATATAAATAATAAAATTCTTATCAGGATTTCACTTATTTTCAATACAATGTTAATTGATTTCTTCGGAAAATTTCAATTATTTCTAAAAATCTTGTAAAAATTCTCCGAGAAAATTTAATTATTTTCAAAAATTATTGAATTTTTCACAGGAGTTCAATTATTTAAAAAACTTTTAATAAAATTAAATTCAAGAATTCAATTATTTTCATAATAAATAATGAAATTACCGCTGGAATTTAATTATTTTAAACACAATTTTAATTGAATTCCAGGGAAAATTAAATTATTTTTAAACATTTTTTTTTACATTCTTCGAAAGAATTCAATAATATCAATAAATAGTAAATTTTTGACATGAATTCAATTATTTTAAATATAATTTTAATAAAATTCTTTTTAAAAATTCAATTATTTGTACACGGAGAGAGAATATATATTGAATTTTGTAAAAGTATTTTACAAATTGGGGAAAAAGTGCAACAAAGCGAAATTTTGATATAGAAAATACTAAACTTTAAAAAAAGTTTTGTGAAATTTATTAAATTTATATTAGAATTTAATTAAAATTCTTTATATTTGATATAATTATACTAAATGTCACATAAGTTTTTTTTAAAGTTTAGTATTTTTTATATCAAAATTTCGCTTTGTCGCACTTTTTCCCCAATTTGAAAATATTTTTACAAAATTTAATATATATTCTCTCTCCGTGTAGAAATAATAAATTTTTTTGCAGGGATTCAAATATTTTAAAAAGTTTTAATAAAATTCTATTCAAGAATTCAATTATTTTCAGAAACAATTAAATTGTTGATGTACTGCAAATCATTAAATTCTTGTAAAATATTTATAAAAAATTTAAATAATTAAATTCATTTCAAGAATTTTATCAACCTTTTTTCAATAATTGAATTCTATTGAGAAAAAGGTAATTAAAATTGTATTAAAAATAATTTAATTCTTGGAAAGATTTTTATTAAAATTCTTTAAAATAATTGAATTGCTTTTAAGAATTTAATTCAATATTCTTGAAAATATTGTAGTTTTTTTAAAAATAATTTTTACTGAAAATTTTGAATATATTTGCATTTTTAGAAAAATTTCTTTTAATTTTCTTAAATAATGGTGTTTATTACTAATATTGTAATGAACGATTTTCCTATTTAATTATATTAAAATTATTCATAGAAAATTAAGTTCTTTTAAAAAATTTTATTAGAGTTTTTGTAAATAATTACATTTTTTTGAAAGAATTTCATTAAATTTCGTAAAAATAATGAAATTTTTTAAAGTAATCTTAATTTTGAAAATTTTAAAAATAATTAAAATTTACAAAGAATTTTATTAAAAACTATTGAGAATAATTGAATCTTTTCCTAGAAATTTAATTAAAATTGTGTTGAAAATAATTGAATTTCTCAGAAGAACTTTATCATTTACAAAAATAATTAAATTCTCGACAAGAATTTTACTATTTATAAAAATAATTGAATTGTTTCGAAGAATTTGATCAGAATTGGTGAAAATAATTGAATTCCGAAAAATTTTATTATTTATGAAAATAATTGAATTCCTTTGAACAATTTTATTATTTGTGAAAATATTTTCATTCCTGCAAAGAATTTTCTCATTTATGAAAATAATTGAATTCCTTTGAAGAATTTTATGATTTATGAAAATATTTTCTTTCCTGTGAAGAATTTTCTTATTTATGAAAATAATTGAATTCTTGCGGAGGATTTTACAATTCATAAAAATAATTGAATTGTTTCGAAGAATTTTATCTGAATGTTTGAAATTAATTGAATTTTTTGAAGGAATTTTATTAAAAATTTTAAAAAGAATTATTTTTTTAAAAAGAATTTCATCAAAATTGTTGAAAATAATTGAATTTATATTAAAATTCTTGAAAAAAATTGATTTTAATTAATATTTTTTAAAAATAATTCTATTCTTTCGAGAAATTTTATTAAAATTGTAGTGAAAATAATTGAATTGCTCTAAAGAATTTTATTATCCATGAGAATAATGAAATTCTTGCGACAAATTTTATTAAAATTTTTGAATAATAATAAACAAGAATATTTGATATTATGTACTTAATGAGTGAATTCTTAAAATTTTAAATTTGTAATCATTTAAAAATTGACGTTTATTCTTGAAAATATAAAATTTTTTAACTTACAAAATAATAATAAATGGAGTACGGCGTTCCGCGCGTATAATTTGCTAGTTTTATAATAATTGTCGAGAAAATATTTTAAATTTCTTGATAAAATATTAATTTTTTCTTTGTTTGCAGGAACCGTGAATTCGGTTACTAAATTAGCATCGAGTGTTGCTCGTAATTTGGATCGATTGACACTGGACGAAGAACATCTTCAACGACAGGAAGAAGCGAGGAGAGTGAGACCGCAGGGAATGGCTCAAGGACTTTATCAGGGTCTCACTGGATTTGGAATGAGTCTTCTCGGTAAGAGAGGAAGATCTGATAAAACTAAAAATAACAAAATAAATTAAATGCCAAAAATTTAATTTTATGATTATTTTTAGTAGAGTTTTAAAAAAGTACATTTGAAACTTTTGGTCTAATTTTTGTTAATTGTTCTCAATTATTAAATTGCCAAAACATTTAATTTTATGATTATTTTTAGTAGAATTTTAAAAAAGTACATTTGAAACCTTTGGTTTAATTTTTCCTAATTATTCTCAATTGTTAAATTACAGCCGCTGTTGCGGGTCTAGCGCATCATCCACTTCAACAAGTTTGGTCCGGAGAATCAACTACAATGGGTCTTGTCACTGGAGTTGGTTTAGGACTTGTCGGAGTGGTCACGAAACCTTTGAGTGGAGCTGCTGAATTAGTTGCTAGAACCGGACAAGGTCTTTTGCAGGGTGCTGGATGGAATTCGTTGCCATCGGTAAATGAAATAAAAAATAATTTTGGTTTATTTTTATTAAATTAAAATTATTTAAAATCCAAATTAAAAATGAAATGAATCTTTTCAGCCTCGACAAAGACCAATTGTGCAATATTCAACACCTGGTTGCAATGCAGCGTCTCTGCGTTACGTTTGGCGATTGATGCCTCTCTTGGCAAAGAGTGGAGACAGTATTCTGCATGTGGCGAGTGCAGATCACGTTGTTCACCAGGGCAGCAATCGTGCTGTGATATTAGTCCTCACAAGACAAGCACTATTACTGGTAAATGTCGACGAAGACAGTGTCGAAAAGATATTTTCCCTAAAAGAACTAATTGGTGCTGATCACCCGTCCGACTCGACGATGCTGCGTTTATTCTGTCCATCGCCTGTTACACATCCAGCGAGAAATATTTCTCCAATGGAACACACTGAGGTATGTACAGTAAAAGAAAATAAAATTCGAAAATGAATTTTATTGTCAAAATAATCTATATTAATAATCGTTGTATTTCGGTAATCTGTTCGAAGCTTGAAGTTAGTTGCTTGCTTTTTTGTTTCCTAACAGATTAATAATTTTTCTTTTCAATTATTTTCAATTTTAAAATTAATGTATTAAAAATCATTGAATTCTTGCAAAGAATTTTATCAAAAAATTTGAGAAATAATTGAATTCCTTCGCAGAATTTTATTATTTATGAAAATAATTTGAAGAATTTCTTTGATTTTTTTAAAAATAATTTTAATTGAAAATTTTTGAGCTCTTCAAAAACTCTTTACTTATTTAATAGTCTTCACCCTTTGGTTAAAAATTTAAAATTATTAAAAATTATCAAAAATTCGGAAAACCGAATTTTTTGAAATTCATCATTTTTTCTTCTCTTTTATGGCATTTAGCTTCAATATTTTTGGGATCTTCAAAAACACTTTACTTATTGAATAGTCTTCATCCTTTGGTAAAAAATCTAAAATTATCAAAAATTCGAAAAACCGAATTTCTTAAAATTCAACATTTTTTGTTCTGTTTCATGGCAGTTAGCTTCATTATTTTTGGGCTCTTCAAAAATACTTTACTTATTTCATAGTCTTCACCCTTTGGTAAAAAATTTAAAATTATTAAAAATTTGAAAAATCGAATTTTTTAAAATACAACATTAGGGTTCCTACAGAAATCCGAATTTAAAATTCCATTCCTTTTCCATGATTTCCAGGTCAAATTTTTAGGAAATTCCAGTAGAATTTTAAATTTAATTTCCACGTCGTATAATATATATTATATATTGAAATTTCGAATTGAATATCTATTGAAGAGAAAAAATGGATAACAGGAAAAATTTAGAAATTTTAAAAAATTCCAGGTCTTTTCCATGATTTCCAGAAGCCTTTTAAAAATCCCATACCATTTCCATGATTTCCAGATTCTGTAGGAAGCCTGAATTTTCTTATTTATGAAAATAATTGAATTTCTTGACAAGAATTTGTTTCAAATTTTTGATAATAATTGGAATCCTCCGAAGAAATCAATTATTTATGAAAATAATTGAATTCTTGACAAGAATTTTTTTCAAATTTTTTAAAATAATTGAAATCCTAAGAAGAATTTTATTAATAATGAAAATAATTGAAATCTTGCAAAGATTTTTATTAAAATTTTAGAAAATAATTGAATTCTTTTGGAAAATTTTATAATGAATTAAGAAAAAAATTTTAACGTTTTAATGCTATTAGGTATATAATTATTTTTGACTGTGATATTGAAATACATAGAATATTATAAATAAGAATTCTGAAATTAAAAATACTGACGAATTGATGTACATAAATTATAATTTTAATGTTCAAAATAGATGAATCAAGAAATGAGAGCAAGGGTTGCTGAATTTTTACGAACGAGCAGTACGGGTATCGCTAGTTTATCAACGAATAGCGACGCACAATCAGATACGCACGAAACAATATTACCGCCACCGGAAAGTAGCCTAACGTTTTATGTTAGTCCCGATTCACGCAATTATTTGCTAACAGTATTTAATGTTGCAAAGAAACAAAGCCAAGGCAGTGGTTTTAATGTTTTGTAAAATGTTATATTTATGGAGTGATATAAATTATATTTGATAAAATTTTTAAAAAACCAGACTTTCAACACTACCTTTCATTTAATCCTTTTACCTTTGGCTTTATTAAAAAGAAAATTATATTAAAAGATTAATATTTACAAAACTTTTTAAATTAACACATGGAAATAGTACGAAAAAAAGTAATTCTTTCAATTATAAAAAGTTTTCTATTCAATTTACGATTTGTAACAATAGTTTATTTTTTATTTACAAAAGTATAAAATTCTCAAAAAAATAATGAATTAAAATTGATAAAAACAGAAAGAGAGTAAATGTTGAAAATACGCAAAATAAATGCAATTATTTTTACCATTTTATATAAGAAAAATTGAAAGGAATTTTATTAGAAATATTTTGTATTTTTTATAAAATGTAAGTTATTTTGTACATTAAAAATAAATGTAAATTTAGTGGATAACGATATGTAAATAAATTCTATATAAACTAAAGTGGTGTAGAAAGTGTTACCATCGCACTTTTAATTTCGTCGTAAAGCTCTTGATAATCTGGATGTTCTTTGATAAGAACCATTAGACTGCCTCTCTTGACTCCCATTGCTGAGCCAATATCAGTCCTCGATGGCGTATAACAATAGGGGATATTTTTATCTTCACAAACCACTGGTAAATGACACATTATTTCTATTGGGAAAACATCGCCTGCGAATACCACAATCCTGAAAAAATAGAATTTATGAAAATAATTAAATAACAATTTAATTGGGTAAAATAATAATGATTCTATCACTCGGTTTTCAAAAAAAAATATATTATAATATCGGTGTAATATAAATTAATAATATTGAAATTATTTACCCTGTCTCTCCTTTTCGAATGCATTTCTGTACGTCCTTGAGTCCGTTTCGAACAAAAGTTTTATGCTTTGATGCTGAAACAATTTACAAAATTTATTAACAATAATATATTTATATTACAGAAACAAAAGTACAATTCTCTAAACTATGTTAAAATTTGTTTTTAGTACAATTCGCTAAAAGAATAATTAAGATATAAACGTTTTGATTAAAAGAAATAGTTGTTTGTTTACACAGATAACATAACCTAAGAATATTTTTGCATTAATAAAGCTTTTATATTTACGTTTTACGCATGAACTTTAAAGCAACAAATAAACATGAATAAAATAAAGTCGTAAAAAAGTGGAAAATTGATTAAAATTGCAAATTATAATTGAAATTACTCGGAATTCTCGGAATGTTGAATTCAAGAATGAATTTTAAAAAATTTCTAGGTTATGTAGATCTTTGTCGGTGTTTAAATTCCTCAAGTATGAAACTTAAACTACAGATTAAATTTCTGCCCTTATAATAAAATACTAATATTTTTAAAATTAATATGAATTAATACCTTTTTTAATACATTTGTAGATCTTTTTCGTTAACTTTTTTGGAGCCATAGGCTGAGAAATGGCATTAACAAAGCCAAGCTTGTCCTCATAATTCATTTCCTTCACCTCCGTTGTATCCATATCTTCAACATCTTTTCCAGATTGATCTAAATCCATTTTTTTATAGTGGAAAAGTATACTTCTCAGTAATAAATTGTTTATAAGTAAAATAACTTTAAGAAAGCAACAATGCTTCGTACACGTGCACTAGCAGACAAGACAACTGAAAACAGGAAGTGACGCATATTCACAAATCTGCCGAAAGGTGGCGCTATTTAAGGTACGAATTTTATAAGTATTTAAATTTTGTAGCAATTTGCATTATTTTTAATTAAAAATTTAATAGAGTATAGCAGTAAGAATATTTAAAATTTGATTCACAGTTGAAAATTTACATCTTTGACAGTTTTTTCAAAGTAGTAAATAAACGCGCTACTTAATAATATTAATAAAACGTATTGACTTCTTATAAACAATTTTTATAGTTTTTAGTATAAAATTGCTTTTCTATTCCCCCGAAATAATATAATAACTAATTTTATAAAAATTAATTACAATTTTTAAATTTAAATTTTTTTATGGGGTGAGAGATTTACCTACGAAAGATAAGTCGATAAGTTACCAGCCGCGAGTAGAAAACTGTTTGACCATTTGAAAATAGAAATTTTAAATATTTTTTGATCCTAAAATGTAATTCAAATTTTCATAAATAATTTTCTATCCTTAGATTACAAAGAAAAGTGTTAATATAATATAATCTTAATTACATGATAATTATATTTAACTTTATACATTTTGCGCATTAAATATATGCAACTTCCTTCCATAGATGGCGAAAGTTATCCATCACAAGAATTCAATAAAAAATATAAAATCTAACCACTTTTAATCTTCTGGCCAATTAACAAAATTAACAGTTTTAAAAAATTAATTAATTAATTAATTAATTAATTCATATATTATTATTATGAAAATGACAAATTTTTTTTATTTCCAAATACAAATTTTTGAATAATTTTATAATCAGAATTTAAAAAATTCATTTATTAAGTAATAATAATTAATTATAATTGTTTATAACTTCGAAAATTTCAATTTCTTTGCAAGAATTCAATTATTTTCATAAATAATAATATTCTTCGAAAGAATTCAATTATTTTTGTAAATAGTAAAAATTTTTGCAAAAATTCAATTATTTTCAACAAAATTTTAATAAATTATCTCGAGAGAATTCAATTATTTCTTTATATAGTAAAATATTTGCAAATTTTCATTATTTTCAATAAAATTTCACGAAAAAATTCAATTTTTTTTCTAAAATTCGTTTTAAAAGTTTCCAAAAGAATTCAATTATTTTCTAAAATTTTTATAAATCCTTTAAAATAATTCAATTATTGTAAATAATAATTATTATACAATTATTGTAATAAAATAAATTTCACGAAAGAATTCAATTTTTTTACTTAATTTGCTATAAAAGTTTGCAAATAAATTCAATTATTTTCTAAAATTTTAATAAATCATTCGAAACAATTCAATTACTTTTATAAATAGTAAAATTCTTTGCAGAAATTCATAATTGTTTTCAACAAAAATTTAATAAAATTTAATTATTTTCCAACATTTTTATAAATATCCTTCAAAACAATTCAATGATTTCTGTAAATAGTAAAATCTTTGGAAAAATTAATTATTTTCAATAAAATTTCACGAAAGAATTCAATTATTTTCTAAAATTATAATAACTCCTTTGAATGAATTCAATTATTTTTATAAATAGCTAGTAAAATTCTTTAAAAAAATTCAATTATTTTGAAAGAATACTGTAACTGTACTATTTTCAAAAAACTCAAAAAAAATTTTCAAAAGAATTAATTTAATTATTTGCAAAAACTTTAATAAAAAGGTTTAAAAAGTTTACCTTTCTATCGTCAAAAAATTTGTCATAAAATTTTTCAAATGAATTCAATTATTTTGTAAAATTTTTAAAATATAATATAAAATATTTCATGAAAGAATTCAATTATTTTTAAAAAATTTAATATACCTTTCACAATTCAAATATTTTTTTAAATATAGTAAAATCTTCGCAAAAATTCAATTTTTTTTTAATTCGTTATAAAATTTTTCAAAAGAATTAAATTATTTTCTTAAATTTTTAAAAATCCTTTAAAACAATTCAATTATTTTCCAAAATTTTAATAAATCCTTGGAAACAATAAATTCAATTATTTTATAAAATTTTTAAAAATCCCTTCGAAACAATTCAATTATTTTTAATAAAATTTCAGAAAAGAATTCAATTATTTTCTAAAAATTTTAAAAATCCTTTAAAACAATTCAATTATTTTTAATACAATTTTTAAAATATATGTTATGAAAGAATACAATTTTTAAAAAATATATAAAATTCTAAAAAGAATTGAATTGTTTACACGAATTTTATTAAAATTTTTCAAAATATTTTCTATTCTTTGAAAGAATTTAATTATTTTCTACAAATTTTAATAAAATTCAATAATTTAATTGTTTAATTTCAATTATTAAGAAACACGATTATTATAAGAACGTGAAATAAATTGTTCATGAAATTCAATTACTTTCAAAATTTTCAATTCAAATTATTAAAAAAACTCCAATATTTTTAACGAAAATTCAAAGAAACTCTTCAAAAGAATAATTTAATTAGAATTTTTTAAAATTTCAATAAAATCCTTCGCGAGAATTCAATTATTCTCAAAATTTTTGATAAAATTCATTACAAGAATTCAATGATTTCCAAAATACATTAATTTAAAAAAAAAATTCAAAAGAAAAATGCTCCTCTTACTTAATTTATTTCCTTCAACAATAAACAAAAAAAAAAATTGTCAAAACAATTGAATGTTGATAAAAGAAAAAAAAAATGTCACGAAATAATAATAGTTTGTAAATACTTTTTAATGATGAAATGTCGCAAAATTCAAGAGCCTGAAACATTTTTATTGTTCCGCAGTCTTCTAAGAAGCAATTACACTATTTGAATTGGTTGTCAATTTTATAAGTGAGATTTTAACGAGAAATAACCAAGAAATGTAATATCCAACATCGCTAATACAACTTTTTCTTCTTTTCCATCTTTTTTCTATAATATAAAAATACTTTAATAAGTCGATCGTTTCTAGAAATAACGGATACATAAACTTTTAATATCATCATAAAATTTAAACGGTCGCATCGAGCGTTAAAAACTATTTGCCATGAATCATCAAACACGTATTTAATACTAAGTTGTATATTAAAATTCTTAACAATTTATTGCTCATAAAAACAATTTTTTTCTAATTAATAAATTATCTAATACCTGGAATGTAAATAAAAAATTTTTTCATTCAACTTTTACTCTTTAAAAATGAGTATATATTTAAATAAAAAAAAATATCCTGTAAACATTTTTTATTTTCTACACAAAAAGTAAAAATAGAAAAAATATTAATAAAAAAATAAGAGAAAAAAATAAAGAAAATTTAAAGGAACGTTTCTCATTTTAAATCAGAAACTAACAAATATGTCTGCGAATGTGTTCGTTTTATTTTTCTACAATTTTAATAAAATTCAATTTAATAAAAGAAAAACATGAATTCAAATTTTAATGGTAAAAGAAAAAAAATGATTTCAATTTGATAACGAAAAAAAAAATTGCTAATCAGTTTGAATTGAGAAATAAAAGTTACATTAACGAATACAAAGTTGAGAATCTATTTAAATGAGAAATTAAAGTGACTAAAAAAGTCTTAACAATTTTAATGATTCGAGGCTTTTAATGTAACAAATTATCGCTTCAATAAATAAATATGGGAGGAAAAAAAAAGATTTTCTCGAGATATAGTTTGAAAGCGGTAAAACGATTAATCAATAATTTCTCGAACTTAACATGTTCTGTTACATCAACATGAGGTTAAACATTGCGATTGCAGAAAACTTGTTTTTCCTTAAGTATACGCGCGCACTACTTGATTGGGGAGTAATAAGAGTCATTTAATATTTTTATCATACCACTTACCGTTAATTGAGAACCAGATTCATGAAACGTTTTCGTATATATGGAGAGGTAGAAATTAAAAAAAACTATTTTTTTTTTTTTTTTTTTTTGAAAAGGTGTGACTGTAATTATTATACGTATTTCGAAGATTTTTCTCGATAATATCTCACTTTCTCGGTTGTATATACTATTTAAGGGACAAAATAAATGTTTTCTGCATGCACAAATATCGTAAAGTACGATTTCTTCGAGTTGGAGGAGAAATCGTTCTTTATGCGAAATGAACAGCAGCAAAATATATACGAAATAACGATAAAGTAATGTTTAATTTATGCAAAATTTGCAAATGTGCTTCAAGTATAACGCTTTTCATATTTTTCAAGAGATGAATTATAATTAGAAAATTGAGAAAAAAATAGTATTGTATTTTAATTCTATATTTATATTTGAAAGAAAAGTGTTTTAATTATCAAAACTCAGTTGTATTTTTAAACTATTTTTTTTTTAATTTTTAGTTATTAATTCATTATAGCAATTTTGTGTATTTTATTTTCAATTGAAATTTATTTTTAATTTAATTTTTAATTTATTGTAGAATTTTGTATTCAAAATTTATCAAAATTAACTTATTAACTAATTAATTATATTTATATATTTTTATTAATTTTTAAAATTTGAATAAAATTCTTCAGAGAAATTCAATTATTTTCAATACAATTTTAATGAAATTTCTCGAAAGAATCCAATTTTTTTTTAAAAATTCAATTTTGAAGGAATAATTCAATTATTTTCATAAATAATAAAAATTCTTTACAGAAATTCAATTATTTTGAAAAATTTTAATAGAACTTTGTCGCAAAAATTCAATTATTTTGAGAAATTTTAATAAAACCTTTCGCAAGAAAAAAAAAATTTATGAAATTTCTTTGCAAGAATTCTATTATTTTCAGAGTACAATTTTAATAAAATTCCTGGAAAGAGTAATTATTTTCAAAAATTTCAATTAAAATTTTTGCAACAATTCAATTATTTTTAAAAAATTCCTCCAAAGAAAATACACTACAAACTCAAATAAATTTTATTTGATTTTTTAAAAAAATTTTTATTTAAAACTTTTTAAACAAAAATGTTATTTTTTAAAATTAAAAAAATTTACAAATTAAAGAAAATTAAGGAATATAAAATATCAAAATTTTTTCTTGCAAAAATAATATCGCAA